AGAAGGACTTAATTGACCTTTTTATGAAAGTTCAAGGATCTATTTGACAGTAATCCCTATAGTACTACTACGTATATGACGTGTATATCAAACCTATAATTCTATTAGTCTTATTTTTTTGGCAAATTTTATTAGTCTTATTTAAACAACCATTTATCTTAGGTTACATATGTAACCTTAGCTTCAACACATGCATGTATTGTCTACCATTTTTATTTTGTATAGGGAAAACTGTCAAATAGGTCCTCGAACTTTCATAAAAAAGTCAATTAAGTCCTTCTATAAGAGACTTTGTCCGGTCATCACGATTTGGGGCGGTTCCCGGTGGAATTTTTTGATGAAATTTTTTTGAGCATCTTATTTATCAAATCTAGTTTACTCATACCAAATTTCAGTTAAAAATTTAATCGGGAGTGCATTCAAATTAATACGAGAACGCAAAAATGTTCAGTTATCTTCAAGAATTAATTTGAATGAGTTCCTGATTGAATTTTTAGCTCAAATTTGGTATGAGTAAACTAGACTTGGTGAATAAGATGCTCAAAAAATTTCATAAAATTTTTTTACCGGGAACTGCCTCAAATCGCGACGTCCGGACATAACCTTCTATTGAAAGACTTAATTGACCTTTTTTATGAAAGTTCGAGGACGTATGTGACAGTTTTCCCTTTTGTATAAGTTGTTTTTGTGGTTCCACCAGAGTTCGTCATTATGCATAATACGTACTCCGTAATTGATAAAGATTTGATTCTCGGGCCCTATTATTGTACCTTTTGTTTGGAATATATTTTGTTAGGAAAACAATCCCTTCACAAAGAAACCAAATATCAATATATGCATGAAATTGATCCGATACTGACCCGGTTTGATTTTCTTTTCATGTAGTCAGTTCGAATACTACTATATACATATATACTCCGTATATATGTAGGATTGATTTGCAATCTTTAAATGTATGATCCTGTAAGGAGTGTAAGCTAAGGATTGTGAAATACGATAGTTACAGTTACGGACTTTTTGTTATTGGTATTTCTCAACTAAAAATGTTCATTACTATTGTTCCAAAAAGATGGAATTTCCCACCATAGGAGCCCCCACCCCGACCCGACATGATGGTGGGGAGGCTAGTCACGGTGATTCAGTCAGCAGAATAGTCAGCAGTAGGCCCATACACCCGTGCGCACCAGAGGTCCAGTCTTATTTCAGGTTCTGTGACCTCCACCCGGTCGCTGCGGGGATTCGAACCTTGGTCCATTGTTCCAAATCTCCCACCACTCGACCAACTGAGTTACCCGTGCGGGTTAAAAAAAAACGTTCATTACTAAATTCAATGCAATCTTCTATCCGTTCTGATTTTTTAAGTCATGTTAATACATGTTAATCCGTTCTGAATCTTTAAATCTATAATGATAGTTTTTCATCATTCAGGTGTTATATCGATACATTTCATCTTTTAGGTCCTGAATTGATAATTCATCTATCTTTCGAGTCCTGAATTGATAAAATTCCAATTTCAACCAACGGGGTAGATTGGTCTTAGGTATAGTTGTCGTCGTATAAACGCTCGTTGGTACAAATTACTGTTGGTAAATGGTCATTTGTTTGTAGTGACATAAGTATTAGTTCAATGTGATCTGATGACTCGATGATAGTTACCATTCCAGCAATCTCGATGAATAGAGTTCGGTCTTCCCCTATGTATTGTAGTCGAGGTCTGAGATTACTTCATTAATTAGTAAGAATTATATCAATTCAGGATCTTGAAGATGTGTTCACCATCAATACGAGACCTATAATATCATGAATTCTATTATTCTTATTTTAAAATATTTAAAACTCATTTGATCATATTAAACTAATAAACAATTGTGAAGAAAAACTTATAAAAATAACAATGAAATTAATATAAAATTAAATAAATCAGAGTATATGATATTTTAGGCTATGCTTGATAGATTTTAATCATTTGGGTCCTATTTCGTTTTACATCTTTTCTTTTTGTTACTATATCGATACACTTTATCTTTAGGTTTGTTATTGATTGTGAATCTATCTTTCAGGTCTCGAACTGATAAAATTGTTAATTAGTACTACCCCCGTTCTCTTTTAATTGCAACATTGGACTTTTGCACTATTCACATGTTCTACTTTGACTATAGTTTATTTATTAATGTATTATAAATTAAATTTTTTTTAAAAATACTTTTAAATTCTTATCATTTTAAAATTTCAAAATCAGTATTTTTTATTTTTTTTACTAATAAGGAATGAAAGATAATAATGGTCAAACTTGTGCGTTGACAAACGTGAAAAGTTGAACATTGCAATTAAAAAGGAACGGAAGAAGTATTAATGAAGTGTGACAAATTAGAGTTCAATGTAGTAGAACTTTCTTGATTTCTTCGCTCACTCGTCAACATATCTCAAGATATCCACATAGTTCTCTCATGTGTTGTGCGCCATTAAATCTCTATTAAATCCATAGAGTTTTGTCTTCTCTTGTTAGTTTGAAGGAGGGAGAAGGGAAGGATTTCGAAGCTTAGCCATGAGAGAGGAAGGGGAAGGGAAGTGAAAGAAATTTTAATTTTTGTTTGGGAGTTATAAATTTGGAAAGAAATGAGTTAGTGAGAATTATAATTGAAATCGCTTAAGGTGTGTGTGTGGAATTCAAATAGTTGAACTTGTATTCATTTTAAATTGAACTAAAATTATCATTTATATTTGTTAAAGTATTTATCCCACACCGAAAAATTATAAACATTAAAATACTATATAAGACTTTGGACTACTCCTCTGAGGTTGACCTTTTAAGATGAGACCTCAAATCTTAACATCGTATCATAGCCAAAATTAGAGTATCGACCGTGTGTAGGAGATCATGGGAGAGTATCGTAGATCCATTGAAGGACGATGGCATCTAGGCGGTCTCAAAGAATTTTGGCTTTGATGGTGGCAGCCTCATGTTCGAGACGTTGCCCAACCGTACACTGGGATGGGGGTAGAAGGTGTAAACCCTTCCTTTCTTTTTCTCTATATTGTTTATTTGCCTACTCTGTATAATATTATCTCTCATATCTCCTTCATTTGGTCTGCAAACTCTTCCTTTCTTTTTCTGTCAAACTCAATAGCTATGGAACCCTGCCTTCTGAATACGGAAGCTTCTCTTCTGTCGTCCTCATCTAAGGATTTCGGTACAGGTGTTGTCGGGGTTGAAACCGTGGGCAACAAGCTGGACGCTGTTGTACGCAAGAAGATAGTCGTTGCTGTAGTAGAGGTGGAACACGAAGCAGATCCTAAGTAAAATGATGAAGATAATACAAAAGCATCATATCTAGAAGAAAGTGTGAATGATAATGTAAAGAGAATAAAAGCTGCGGAGAAAATTTGTGATGTTTGGTATCATCTGCTACCAATTGACCTCTTTCTCAAGTACAACGATGAAGACAATTCTGACTTGGTGAAAAAGTATTTACCATTGGATGTGCAGAATTCAACCAAGTATACTAACTTGGCAAATGAGTTGAAATGTAAGGCTAGAGATGCTTTTGATAGGCTTGCCCTTCCTCCTCCTAAACAAAATGCTTAGATTATGACTAAAATGAATTCAAACAGACCTTTGCTGAATATGTTGCTTGTAAAGGAGATACTCACGTGTGTTGTGTGGCTCTCAAAGCGTGGGAGCTTTTGAGTGAGCCTGAAAATATGTTTACAAACAGAAATTGAATGGTATCAGAGCTAAGTTCGATTGTAGTTTGAGTACTTATTTATCAATTAGCATACATGATTAAGGATACCTTGTTAAGGGTTTGTTTGGCCCATTTATACACTTCGATATTATTTAGCCTGGTTCGGGATGAGCGGCTTGTTAAAGTATTTGTCCCTCACCGAAAAACCATAAAACTATAAAACATTATATAAGACTTTGGGCTACTTCTCCTATTAGATTTATCTTTTATGATGAATCTCGGATCTTAACAATTTTGTTACCCTGCAAAAACCTCCAAATTAAAAAACTTAATCATTGAACATTTCGATGGTTTTGGAGATTTGCAAAAGCTCTTCAAAACTATCCCCTCTATTTTTTTAATCTCAAACATGATATGGAGGGTCATAGACCATCACTAACCTTCTCCTCTCATCCAGAACATAATTCCCAAACATGGTACTACGTATGAAATATTGTATCAAATTATACATTTTCTATTAATGCGTTGGGGGAGATGATATTTGACTTTCCACCCTATTTTCAAAATTATTCATGTATGCACCCTAATTCACTATAAAATCATTTGACTTTGCACCCACTCCTACACAGTTTGGCTCATGAGGTGCATACATTAATGATTTTAAAAATGATGTACAAAATTAAATATCACCAAAAACATGGGGTGTAAACTCAAATTCTCTCTAATTTATTTTGCTTTTACCAAACTGATTTTTTTACATGTTCCCATGACTAATTCATTATTGGCGGAAGATATTCGATTAAATTTAGGTGACATCGAAATCTACTTTTACACATTTACTAAAAAATGCTCTGTATCTGCTAGAAAAGTTCACAAATTGAACTAAGTATATAACAATGTTAACTTTTTGTTATGTTGGTCATATAAATCAAAATATAGCTGACTAAGTATATAACAATGTTAACTACTACTAAGTATATAACAATGTTAACTTTTTGTTATGTTGGTCATATAAATCAAAATATAGCTGATTAAGTACAAAATCAATCATTCACCAACTAAAGTATTGTGAGGATCCTCATCAGTAAAGAATCCAAAAAGATATTTAGATGCAACAACAACAACCAGAAAATAAATTCATATTTGAAAAATAACAAATTCAATAAATTCATCTTTGAAAAGGAAAACATAAGAAATAAAATTTTAAATGTCTTTTTTGAAAGGAATTTATAATCTATCAATCTTTAAAATGTCTTTTCTTAAAAGATTTTTAAAATGTCTTTTATAAAACTATCAATGTAGGACCCGAATGATAGAAAACTGCCGATATTGGACAAAAGTTGTCATAAGTTTTATTATTCTTTTTATTTAAAAATAAATAAATAATATTTAGTTTATTAAACTAATAAACTTTTGTGACGAAAAAATCATAAAATATTAGGAATGTAAATAGTACTACGTAAAAAATTAAAGAATCAAAACCTACGAAATGATAGGTCCTAGATGAATAGTATTCATCATTCGGATCTTATACCGATACATTTCATCTTTTGAGTTTCGGATTGATAATTAGTCAAACTTTCAGATCACAGATTGATAAAATTCCTTTTTGAAAGCGCATATGGTTCTGTCCTTGCCCCTTGGATTCAATTAATACCAGTTGTGTGTTGATAGAGTGCACTTCGAGTCTTTCTCTGCTTCCCACCTGCTTCAACCCAACCTTCTTCTACTTTTTTATTCCTCTGTAGGTTTCTAGCTATTAACACAACTCCTCATTTGTACTTTGAAAAAAACGATGGGTCCTTGATGCAATAAAAAAATCCTTCAATTGTGTGTTGAGTAGTGCGTGCGGCAAATATGTATTCTAGATAATTAGTTTTACTATTACCAAGTCATTTCACTTTTTATTTTAAAAAAAAAGTTATTTCACTTTTTAATGCTCTTAGTAACAACTTTGTTGTTCAATATGGAATACTAAACTTTATATTCCACCCTAAATTGTGTAATACAGAGTAATAGAAAAAAGTAAGATTGGATTAATTTTTGACTAAATTTATTGTACAAAATCATTTCAGGCATTTATATATATATATATAGGGATTGGTTCAAATAAAAAGTGATCCCTAGGTGAAAAATAAGAACTAATCTAGGCCTTTAAATTGATAAAATGGATGGACCAGATCAAATTTTAAAGCAAAAACGCGGTGGCAATATGGTAAATATGTACAATTTTTATTGGATCCGTTAAAGTAAAAGTGCATCGTTGTATTGAAACAGTGCAATACCAGACAGTAAAAGTGCATCGCGCTTCGAAATAAAATAAGAAGTATATAAATCGATTTGTAACTTTTTTAATGCGGTAAATGTGCACATTTGCATATCATATATGCACTTTTACTAGTAAGTATTGCACATTTGGGTTTAGTATTTCTGAACGTGAATTTTGATCTACACCATTCACTTTTAAGTGATCAAGGGCTGAGATCACTTCTTACTTTTCATGGGAAGACCCCTTTATATTAGAACTCACCCCTATATATATATATATATATATATATTTCTTTTCTTTTATTAATAAACTAAATTTTAGATACTATGTAGATTTTTTTCATTAATCAGCAGATACATCCAATTCAGTCGCTTCAATTAGAAATGTATCCATTTAATCGGACTCAACCGAATCAACTAATTTCTATGTGTTACCAAGTGACTCCTTGAAATTTTTTCTATTTTTAATGTCTCTATTATTGTGAAATTGACACCTTTAATACCTCCATTATATCTTTTTTGTTTCAATAGATGGAAGATCTCAAGTGTCACTGATACATTAATACAAAGTTTAATAGCCCGTTTGAGAACCCCTATTTCCCGTTTACAAGCCCTATTGGTCAATTTCTTACCAAACACAAAACTATTTATTTCACACACTAAATTTTGCAATGATCAAAATAATTAAGTTTAGTTAAAGTTACTTTTCTGCCTGAAATAACCGTCAAAGACCACTTTAATGAATTTTAATATAACTATTTCTTTATCATATTGATTAAATATATTTTAAATATAATTGCATCAAAATTCAACCGTTTCAACTACACTATCACCAGTTGCATTTCATACAACCGATTAAACCGAATCCAAGTATTTTTTTGTCAAGAATACTATCATACAAGTACAATTTATAAGTTGTAAAACTAATTATTAAAGTTATTGGCAAATCTTAACCAAGCATTCCAGACCAACTGGTTGCGAGATTACCGTGTCTAGTGGGAGATCTCGAGTTCAAAACTCGCTAGGCACATAAGAGTTTGAAAGTCAATGCAGTGAGTTTCAGTCCTGATTATTTCAGCCCCCCCCCCCCCCCCCCCCCCCCCACAGACCCCCTAGAGTAAAAAAAAATTATTGGCAAATCTTTTAACATTATTGATTGAAATAAAAAGAAAATATAACTAACTAAAAAGGGAATGAGTTATTATTACTTTCAAAATTATTACATCATCACATCGATCTAACAAGACTCTTTCCGAAAACGGAATATCATTATATTTATTAAATTTAAAAAACAAGTTCAAAAATTCATAAAATGTAATCTTCCTATATCTTAGTCATGTGTGACTTTCTCCCGTGCAACGTACGAAAATTTCATAGTGTAATCTTCTTATATGTTAATCATGTGTGTGAATTTATATCGTGCAACACACGGTACCTCTTCTAGTGATCTTCAAATCTAAGAAGAATAACAATTAAATTATAAGTACTATTTCAACGAATAAAAAGATTTTTAGATACAACACAATACCTTATACCTTTGGACCTCAAATAAGCTAGCACGTAGGAGTGGACTCGGGCCGGTTCGGGCCCGGCCGGGCCTCGGTTCAAGAAGGGGAGGCCCGGAACCGGCCCGGGTAAACCCCGGGTCCGGGCCGGGCCGGGCCGGGCCTCGGGTATTTTTTTTTTGTTTGGGGGCTTTTCCTAGTTAACCCCCACCCCTCCCCCTCACCCCCAAACCAACCCTAACCACCTCAAATGGCCCAAAATAACCAGCCCAACCCAAAAACTCAAAAAAAATTCAAAAAAAAATTAAAATTGGCCCGGCACGGGCCCGAACCGGCCGGGCCGGTTCACCTTTTGAAGGGCTCGAGCCCGAACCGAGAATCCACCGGGCCGGGTGGCCCGAACCGCCCAACGAACCGGTTCCCGGGCCGGTCCGGGCCCGCACAGTGGCGGGCCGGTCCGGTTCCGGGCCGGTTGGCCCGGCCCGATTCCACCCCTACTAGCACGTCATTGCATTTGGAGTTGAGTATTAGCCCAAATCAATCTAATAGCCCCATTAACTTTGTCCATCACATTTCCTAATGTGGCTAAGCCATCTTTCGCACATAAATTAACAATATGACATAAACAACGCTGATGAAAAAATTTACCTATTAAACTAGAAGGACTACATAATTCACGCAATCTAGGTACATCAGGAGTATTAGTAGTACCATTATCAAAACCAATAGCAAACATCTTATTAATCAAACTATATTCAATTAAAATATGTTCCATCAGAATATATATTATCACTAGTGTGTCTTTCATAAAAATCTCGAAAAATGATAACTCTTTTCTGCATTTTTCAATAATCATCCATCCAATGTGCAGTAACACCCAAATAATACAAATGGTGATAAGTATTTTCCTATATATCACTTCAAGCAGTCACACATCCATTTAAATTTGCAAAAAAAATATTCAAAATTTCCTTTTTCAAAAGATATTGTTTAATGACTTGTTTTTTAATTGTTTTGCGGTTATAAATTCTTAATTGTGGATTTAAAGAACCTTAAGCATAAGCACATAAAGCAAGACTTTCAGAAAAAATAAAAGGCAAATTTTCATCACATATTAACTCAGACATTGCTTTTAATTATACCTCGTCATTGTAAGAGAAAATACTTAAGGGTTAATCATTTGCAAACCTCGATATTTGTGTTTGCACGCCCTTGCCCTTCATTTTCGCCACCTATGTGGGGTGCCTCGAGTTCAAGTGCCTTTGGACCGTGTCGTAGCCCGCCGAAATCCCCATGCACAATGTTTGCAGACAATGTTTGCAATGTGTGTGCCACTTCCCGTTCGTCGGATCCTTCACCTTGCTAAAATGATCTACAAAAAGAAGAGATTTTAGTTTAGACTTACGATTTTGGGCTGCTTAGGATGAACCGACGCCGCCTGCTTGCTCCTCCTCGTCGGGGTTATCCCCGTCGCTTTGTTCATCCTCGGGGCCACCGACTTGGTGCCCCGCATTCCCATCGCTTCCTTGATCCTTCTCAGAATCATTGTCCTCCGACTCCTCATTAATCTCGGGGAGGTTTTCTTGATGCAAAAACCGACCTTGATTTTGGTCCAAGAGTTGCTGAAGTTGCTCAACGACCATTGCATCTCTACGGTTATAATCGGCCGCCCAATCATCACGGATTTGGGACGAAGATGTTGCCCCTACTTGTCGTTTACCTTTCGATTGACCCGAACGCCCTGAAGGATGATCTCTTGCAATCTCCTTTGAACGATTGCGTTGGAGATTACCCATATCGACGGATTTCCTACCCCCACTCCATTTCTTACAAAACTTTACAAAAATTACAAATTACAATGTCAAGAACAACTTAAATAAAGTGTAAAACTATTAATATGTAACAACAATTAAAATGTTGATAACTACTTGAATGCAAGTAGTATTAAATAAAGTGTACAACTATTAAATTTTAACAACAATTAAAATTTAAAGAACTAGTTAAATGCAACTACTATGAAAAAAGTGTACATAGATTAAAACGTAACAACAATTAAAATGTGACTAACTACTTAAATGCAGGTAGTGTCAAATAAAGTGTACAACTATTACGGAGTAAAATTTAACAACAATTAAAATTTAAAGAACTAGTTAAATGCAACTACTATGAAAAAAGAAATGTTAAATGATTAAAATGAAACAATTAAATGATTAAAATGAAACAATAGTAGGCCCGATTCCGGTCCTAAATTAACTTTTAAAAAACAACTAACCGGGTACATCTCTAAATTACATCTACTTTAAAAAAAATAACTTTTAAAATGATTTTGAAAAAAGTATATACAAATAAAAGTTGTTAATGTTTGAAAATTTTGATTTTGGAAAGTAAAAGTTGATAGTGTTTGATAAAACATGTACTTTTTGTGTAATAGAAAAAATTAAAAAACAAACAATTTCTAGTTTTAAAGTTTTAAATGTTTAATGAAGCAGAAGTTGTCGCTTAAAAACACTTTTTTCACCTTTTTTAATCTAAAAGCTTAAAATCACTTTTTTTTTTATTTTTTTGTGAACATACCCTAAGTGAGAAGGGGTATAACAGTCCTCTTACTTCTTTTAGTCTCTTTTTTGGAAATTAAAAAGAAAAGATCTTTTTGTTCACTTGTTAATTTTTAGTATTACCCTCTGTCTTAACTAGGGTTGGACCGGGACCGGGCTGGGCCAAACCAGGCTCCGGGCCAAGACTGGGCAGGACCGGGACTAATATCAGACCCGGTACCGGCCCGGGACAGGCCTGGACAATAAATTAAAAAAATAATGCAATCGGGCCCGGGACCGGCCAGGTCGGGCCTAAAAAACGAGCACAAAGCCCGCCCTTATAGCCACCGGGCCAGGCTCCGGGCCCAAACCACGACCGAGCCGGGCTCCGGGCCTAAGCAGGGCCGGGCCCGGCCGGGACTAAACAGTGCCGTGACCGGGCCTAGGCTGGACCGGGCCGAGCCCACCCATCTTAGTCCACTCCTAGTCTTAACCCCTACTTATAATTGTCAATATGTAGGGCGAAACAGGTCAAGAATTTTTTATAATGCTAATGCATTGATCACAACCCTGTGACCCCATATGGATATTATACAACCGTTTGTAGCCATGAAGTTCAAGATACTAACTACGTAGTAATTTTATTTAATATTCTAATAAAAATTATCAACACTGGCGTTTTCCAAAGTTGAACTCCACCTGTACAACATAGCGCATCCTAATCTGCTCCGCCTGGTAAACTATGTACTCATTGTACAACAAGCTTCCCTGCAAAAAAGATTGCAAAATAAAAGGTTACTTTGATCATCTCATCATATTTATTTATTTAAAAGATATGAGCGTGAAGTGCAGTGCACCTTAATGCCTGGCTGCTGTTTGGGCTTCCCGCAGGGAACAACGACACCATCTTCAAGTGCAAAAGCTTCTGAAGCATCTGGTGCAGTAGAACCAACTCCTTTTGTACTGTTAAAATGTTCCATTTGAAAGAGTCAATAGCAGAGTAAAATCTCCTCCGAAGACAAACCCGGTTAACTTCTCCTACTTTAACACTTTAACTGGTGGTTTTTATTTTATTTTTTCATTTTACTATGATTTGGGGCCTTGCGAGTGGGAGTGATTGCATCTGGAATCTTATATCATATACTGAAAAGAATGAAACCTTAGCTTCCCATTAGGCAATTTGTCCGCATTATAGTCCGCTGTTAGCAGCTCATTCATTTCTCCAAGTGCTACCTGGAGATTAAAGCAAAAAAAAAAAATAAGTTGCAGGGTTGTATAGTTGCAATATCCTTGTATCCCCTAATGTATGATTGCCAAAAAAAATAAAATAATAACGCATAACAAACTTTAAAAAATGAGTAATGAAGTAGTGAATACTATCGTATTTAATATTGGATTTTGCAAGCTCAATGTGATCAACTCATTAATGATAGACAAAGAAATGAAAAACACAGAAACAACCCTCAATTTTTTTTTTTTTTGCAAAAGAAGACAATGAAAAGGAACAGAAGGAAGAACGAAGGGCTAACCTCACATAAAAGTAAGACGCCTTCCCTAGATGTAGAGCTTGGATAGCAATAATTTGCACTCTTAGAGAACATATCAGCAAAATAAACTCCTTTACCAAACATGTAGCCAGTCACAGGTGCTTCCGGAGGAGCAATACGCAAACCTGGTGTTGTACGCACAATCATAGCTATCAGTGGTCTCCAAATGACGGATAGATCCAAACTTTGTGATAACTTGAAGACAATTTATCAAACCTTGGGAGAGAATGCCAATCCAGTTGGAGAGTCTAGAACCATGCCACAAAAGCATCCTGTTTCTAGTGTTGGAGAACTGTTTTAAAAGAAGACTGGTGTCAGACTGTCAGTATTTTAAGGATCTGTTTGAATTGACGGGTTATTTGGCGTTTTGGAGAAGGAAGTCTTTTTAGGTCTTAGTCTATCACTCTATCCAAACAAGCCTTCATAATTCCCCCCCTCTGAAACCCTGTATCCAAACAGACCCTATGGGTCAGTTTGGATGGAGGGTTGTTTCTAAACCTTAATATACATTTGAGGTTTTATAATTGATTTTGAAGGAATATCATAATAGGTCAACATATAACATTCCAATCCCCTTTTATCCCTTTTTAGAAACATTCCACTTGTCAAGATATGGACTGATATGAGAGTAAAGTGCAGTGTTCCTTCACCTTCTGGAATCTTTCTCCTTCACCATTTCTTGCCACCCTAAATAAATTAATGATATCCACAGTATAGTTTGAGTGCGTATTTGCATGTGTATTCTTCATATATCTCTCAACCTGAGCAAAAGAAATATTTTCTCACTTCTAATGGGCCAATCAAATAAAAATTGCATGAAGGGTAAAATATGGGTTATGTACACAAATATACGTATCTTTGTAATGTGCTAAAAGAGGATGCATTTAGTCCTAAGAGTAGTAAATGATTCTTTTTTAGGAGTGAATGGGTCCTATTCTTTGGAATTAACAGTGGTGGTCTTAGAATTGTGTCATGTTGAAATCTTATTTTTAAAACTTTCCAGAAAGAAAATTCATCTATCAGACATATTTGACTCTCAGTATGACAAATTGTCATTCTAAAGTCTAAACAGAACCAGTATAGTATGGAATGCAAATTTTAAAAAAAATCAAGAACAGAGTAATAATAATACCATTAAATACTCTTTAGTCCCAACTTCTACTGGAGTCATTTGACAGTTGAGTTGTTGATAATGATAATACAAAGGATCATCCTACAAGGAACATATACAAATTACAGACCATTAAATGAAAAAAAAAAGGCAGAATGTGAGGCACTAAGGGGAGGAAATCAACCCCTGACAGGAGCATAGCCCCGGGTTGAGCCGGTACAAAGAGTTTTTTTTTTTGATTAATTTTTACACGAAGTTTTTTACTCTAATAATAAAGGCTCCTTTGAATTGTGGGATAGGTCGGGCCCTCACATGGCCCCCTACCTCCACCCCTGCCCTCAGAGCTAGGGAAGTATATAAATGTGATACACATGCTCGGTTATTTAAATTTGGGAAATTTTTGTCCTGTGACAATGTAGTTAGAACTTTTTTTGCGTGGTACACAAAAGGAGTGTTTGCAAAAAAAAAAAGTGTTTCAGTTTTTTGCTTTGTAAATTATAAAAGTGGTGTTTCGAACATGTGCTTCTGCTTAACTAAGCAATTTGAAGCTAAAAAGATTTTAAGTCGGTGTGCTTAAATTTGTAAGTAGGGGTGCTTAAAACTGTTTTTCTATTACATCAAAAAGTGCTCTTTCACCAAATACTCAAACTTTTACTTTTTTAAAATCATTTTTATTTTCAAACGCTACAAATTTTTACTATTAATCATGTTCCATATGATCTATAAAATAAATCACTTCTCAAAAGTAGAAGCAAACTCAAACACTACCTACCTTTACAAGGAATTCATCTTATAATCACAAGCTTTAGCAAGCTTTTGTACCATAAAACATAAATCAGTAAACTTTTCAAATTTAGGTTTTTAAGTTTTTATGCAAATCTTTTAAAACATTAGATTGGAATCTTTAATTTAGGTTTTTAAGTAGGACTTAAATTTTAAAATATAAAACTCTTCGCAAACTTAAATCTTAAAATGATCCATGCTGTCAGGCCTACCCACACAAGAGATGTGAATAAGTCAATAACAGGGTATAAAATTAGTTCAGAAAGGTAGATAAAGAAGACATTTAACTATAAGTTAGTATGTAAAAGGTAAATAATAATACCTGTAAACCCGTGGGATCCTCCAGCAACTTAGTGGCAACCTCAATTAATCCGAGAGATTCCACCTTCCCATTTCCAAAGAGTAGTGCATCAAAAAAGTAAATTGGAACAAATTAATAAGATCACTAAAAAAACAAGGCATTTAGAAATTTAGTGAAATCCTACATTCCGAACACTAGGAACTATAATGAAGCACATGCAAAAACAACAACTAGAAGCCGTAAAGGTACTTAAAGTTTCAGATTATTTGATAAAAAGGGTACCCCCACAAAGCCTTTTTGATCTGCAATAATGCATTGAAAAAATAACTTTTCTTGATCAATTGTTATACATGGCTAGTTGCCTAGGACAGACTAAAGACAGTAGCCCACATAACAATTGAGTATCAAATTATTAAACACCATCTCTAGCTCTAATAAATAAACAATAAATGCAAAGAAAGGTGATAATATGTATATGCAATTATGTATGTCTGGGTGTGCATGTTTAGAATCATTTTAAAGAATAAGGATAGCAATTACCATTTCCAATTTGCGTTTCAACTTCTGAGGGGTATCAATCGTAAAGTCACCTATAATCAAAAACATCATCTATTACACCAGAAAATCCCTCATCGTGAAATAAAGATGTTCTATATTGTTTGATCATCAGATCGGTGTCATAATTTCTAAAATGATGGGCAGGAACAGATGTATAATGTATTATGTGGGTATCACTAAATGGAGCTATGATGTAAGCACAGATAGGAGAGTCCCATGAAAGATAATGGAATAAAAATGACTTACGCATCTTTTTGTAGCCAAAGTCATGAGGGATGACAGTGTAGAATTCACTGCAATTTAACAGTCATGAAGTATGAGCAGATAATAACTTAGTCACCATTTGGTAGCTGTTATTGACCTATTCTGTTTATCTATAGAATGATCAGAATAAAAGGCTATTGACTTATTGGATTATGTGGATGTCAGCAAACACTAATTCCTTTCATAAAAATCAACACATTCAGCCGTTCAACCATTTTAACAGACCAATAGTCTATAACTACTGGAATGTTAAAGTTCAGTGATTACTAAGAGCATTAGAGAAATGAGAATCAATCAATAATTTTAACCTTTGCAGAAGAGCAAGAAATATATACATTGCTAATTCATATGAGAATTCACAACTTCACTTCATACCTGCTTAAATTCTCAAGCATTGTTCTATTTGAATTGCTAATGACTTCGGCAATCCTCTTCAAAACATTATACCCCTAGAATAATAAGAGCATAAAGAAAACCAGTTTCAGTTGTGCAGTGTAGATCAAAGCTCATCTTATTAAAATATGGAAAGAATAAATGCACTGAGCAGGTCATACTAACTATATGCTTTAAAAAAAATGAATCAAGAAGTGGAGAATCGAACATTGGTGTCACAGCCTCACAGGTGCTAACCTTAGAGATTGTTGATTTGCTTAGTTTACCTAGGGGCAACTTGTCAGCATTATATCCTGTAGCATAACAGAATTAAGTGGGAGATAATGAGATAAAACTTTTAAAATATGGGAGAATAGGGCACTATCAACAGAAAAAGAATGAATACGACAATAACAACATCCAAGCATTAGACCCAAAAGAGTTTGGGGTCAGCTAAAATGAATCGCAGTATGAAATTGGAGCTAAAAATGAAGATCACCTTACAACCATTGTTACTAGCCACATAAAATATGATATGTATGTTATTTTGTATGAAAAAAACATCTATGGTTGTACCACATAGCTCAATAAAATTCAACCTATTTCCATCATTTGCTGCTTCATCATGCTGACATTGCAAATAAGAGAGATGAACTTGGCAATCGGCGGTTCTAACTTTGTTTGACGGGGCTGGCTTTTAATACAAGCGTTATGATCTTCTGAAACCTGTTCAAATGTCACCTCACCATCAGATGCAGTTGGATAGGAACACAAAGGTGTCCACCATGTCAATGTTATAGCAGAATTGCATTTTTATAACAAGCAGGAGTGTTTCAATTTGATATCAAAAGGTTTTCACATCTCCCTCACAGAAAGTGACGTGAAGGTAGCCTTAGGTAAGGAGCTTACGAGATAAACGTGTCTCCACGTCTGGGAGGTAGTGGGGGATCACTCTGGGCTAAAAGAGTCTCTTAAGTGCTAGCGTAGCGGGAGAGCAAATAGCAATGAACCTTATCTACAGTCTGAGTTTCCTCCTACCAAGAACTACTAGAGCTCTCTATGCGAGGAAAAGGGTACAGATGGGCGGATTTACGCATCTGAGCACCCGGAAGGCAGATTGAAAGCCAGGTTAGCCGCCATTAGCTAAGATTGCAAACCCACAGCGGGTAGGTTCCAACCCTAAGATCAGGTGTATGTTCGATGGAATCAAGTAGGACGCAATCGGGGAGTCCAGCACAGTTGCTCCATCAGTTCAAAATGCATTGTAAGAGTAAGAAGTAATTTATGAGCTATTAACTAAGAAGAACTCACTGATGGATCTTCTCTATTTTGACTGTAGTCCATTTCCAACCACATATATTGCCTTTGGTGGCAGACAAAGTCCTTACGGTCAGACCAATGGTTCTTAGTTTTTTCATAAAACTTGTTCTCAAACTCCTGAATGGCATCATATTGAGATGTATAGGGACCCATGATCTTCGTTCCACCCTTGGCACCAACTCTGCCCCATCTGTAGTAGACTAGAAATTTCCCACCACCATCAAATTCTGCAAAATCATGTTGTATATTTGTATAACTAGATAGATAGTTACAAAATTACAAATCTATCAATTTTTTGCAATGTTGAGATAGCTACAGCCTACAGCAATGTCACACATGGTGCATCTAGGAATCAACCCGAGCTCTTTAAATTATACACCGATTAATCTTGTATAACAGCCCATGTCCAACAATTTTATCCTTAAGTTTTTACATTTTAAAGAGGAAAAAAGGCTCCAGATAATGGGCTGGGCATATGTACAATTTTACTGTATGTGACTATGTTCAAAACATTCCATTTGATTAGCAAAAATAGTAAAAAGATATAGTAACCTAGAGCTTGAATGACATAGAACTTGTTATTGTTGTGCCCGACATTTGTCTGGTTCAGCATTGCATCGTAAATTTCATTTCCCTGCAAATCAACAGAGACCTAAATCATCATCATCACAACCACCTTAGTCCAAAGTCCCAACTACGTTGTGTCGGTAGCATGAAATTTATAGTGTCAACTAGTTCTCAAAATGTAGTCAACACTATAAATATATGCAAATAATCAGTGGCATAATAGTACAGCGGGTTCTCTTCCTGTCAAAACCCTATTCTGAGCATTTGAGAAGATGCCCCAAAACTGTCATTATCACAGACTTATTTTAAGTTATAAAAAAGAAAGTCATAAGCTGAGATGGTTGCAATAGTTATGTTAAAAAGCTGAATTCCATAATGCAGAGCTATGGTTCTGAACTCATATTAGGGGTATAAACCTGTCATGCTACCGATGAACTCATCAACCTAAACTCAATGAATACTTTTTAGTCAGTGTTGTAATATCTGTAAGCCAGGTTGTTAATAAGCTGGAGTATATCTGTTACCCATAGCTCTCTCTGTTTTATTCCAACTCTCACAACGAGTATTACTGAGTAGTTAATAAGCTTATAAGCCAGGTTGCACCGTTGCACACAATTTACTGTATATATTTATTCAATTATTCTGTATAGTTGGATGCTCCACTTATACTATACATAAGACGTAAGAATGTATACTTTTATATAACATCATAATTCATTGAATAGGTAGTGATTTTACTGATTTGAATTAGGTAATTCATAGGACATGTCTATGAAGGATGTACTATATGTCACGTAGGCCTTTTTCTGATGTCAATAAAGCTAGACTGTGTTTTACCTGTTTACAAAAATGACCCCAAATAAAACTAATGCTTCTTCGTAATCAATTAGCAGTTTAGCAAAAAATAGATGTTGTGCACTAAAATAGAACATAAGCTTTGGGATTTTAATCAAGCAAAAGTTCAAAAACAGGGTTTGCCTTTCATTCTATGGACGAACTAGTGAAGCATTGAAAGACTAGCACTTACACACTGCAAAAGATGGTAATTTGCCTTGATGTCATCTGGAAGCCATTGATCTAAAATAGATGCACCTTTCTTTGTTACTGTGACCAGTTTCCCTTTATTATCTTCTTCAGCTATGCCAAAAGTAAGTTAACATAAAAATTATTATCATTGTTCATATGTGGGGATTCAGTAACGATACAAATTTGTAAGAATCACATAGTAGTAGTGAAATTCAAGATATACAAAAACAAAAACACCATAAAATAAAGATAGTAGTTCACATGACATACATAACAGTCTAATTGTACTGTGCATAATCAAGATTCCAAAATATAAATTCTTAAGATATGTTACAAAATACCAAACTGATAGTTCATATAACATTTTCTATTAAAAGGTAGTCTTCACACAGAAAGTGATATAACTAAGATGCAATGTTGAACGATCAGCATACATTGAAATAAAATAGAAATAATTACATATTTATGACTAAAATAAAGATTGTTTACGAAAATATGACTAGTGACTATGTAGTAATGGAATAATAAATAATTTTTATTATAGTAATAATTTTGAAAAAAAAAACCCAATAAAATATCAGTATATATTATATAAATAAAATTTAACTCAAACCATAAAAACTTTATATTGAAAGGATATAGTACTATATAATACCACTTTATGGAGTTATAGATGGAGGTATAGAAGATAACAAAGAAGAACTGCAAATTGACCTAGAGAGTCAAGCGAGAAGACAAAAGACATTATGGAAAGGACTGATTGGGTCTATAATATACCTTCAACAACGGCAACTGAATTATCATTTGCTGAAGGACCATGACCATCATCACTGGCAGAAGAAAGCCTTTCAATTAGTTCTTTCTTCGACCCCATATTAGAAATTCCTCTATGACTTGCTTCTTCCCTCAGTCGCTTAACAGTCATGCTCCTCAGTTCTTCCTTAACCGTGACATTGTCCTTCTCGGGGCCTTCTTTCTCAGAATCATCCCTCTGTCTTTTCCGACTACTCCCACTTTCCCGGACAGCGTTTGAACTAGTTGGTTGACGTTTACTCTCTTCCAGAATAGCTTCTTCCAGCCTCTGCACCTGCGAACGTTTCAGAGTCAAGGCTCGAACAGTTGTAATACTGAAGGGAAGAAGTGTGAGGAAGTTACCAGTATGGGTTTGGTGCCCGTAATGTCAAGGCCGCGTTTGGCTAGCTCCGCGCGGAGCTCGCCGACTTTGAATTTGCTCGCCATTTCTGAATACAGACGATTCTCAGCTTGACACAGCTCAGAAGTTTGTGTGCAACTGAGTTTTGACTTTGGAGGGCTTTGACGTTTGAAGGGGTTTAGAATTGAACGACTAGGAGAGGCTTCCGAGAGAAGGAAAGCCAGTCCAATATTATTAAGGGAGCGTTTGGATTGCTTGAAACTACAAATGATTTTTAAATGATTTTAGAATAATACGGAGTATTACCTATTTCGTAATACAGAGTAATTGCTTAATAGTAAAAGTGGATAATTATCATTATCATTACCTCAATGTCGCAGAGGCTTCCACCTTCTGTGTCACTTTCGGTGAGGTAAGAAAGATCGGATGTACACAGTTTTATTCTTGTACAAAATTGTACTAAAGCTCAAAAAGACTTGTTTCTTGATGATCCATAGTGAAAATCGTGTTGAATGTTGCATGGACTAATCGCTGTTTTATAACAATAATGTGCAAACAGTTAGAAAGTCATTATGCTTTATTCCATCATGTATTCTCAAGCCAAAAAATAGTGAATCTTTTGTCTCCATTGCAAATGATGGAAATAAAAGTGGACAGTGTTTTAAAAAAAAATTGAGAAAGTCAAAGTTGATAGTATTTTGGTAAAAAAATGTTTTTGTGTAATAGAATACTGAAAAACAGTGAAAAGCACTCATTCACATGCTTTCAATTTTCTTGTCCAAAGAATAATAAGTTTAATAACCGGAGTATTACTATCATCATATAATTTTGGAAAATGGGTCAAATAAGCTCTTCTATCATTTCAAACACGTCACTTAAACCCTTGTATTACAAAAAGTATAATGTAAGTACGTCTACTTTACAAAATATATCAATTTGACCATTGAATCAATTTTTTATCTGTAATAGCAGTGTTTTAATACTTAAAAATTCTAAAAACTAGTTAAAATTTGAAGAATTATATACAAAAATTGTGAAAGTTTTCAGAACATCAAAGTCAATACTTTTAGTTTTTTTAAAAATTGTACATTCTACACCTATGTAAAAGGTTTTTAGATTTTTTATTTTATTTTTTTATTTTCACTTTATTTTTTCAGTTTTATGATTTTTTTTTGCTTTAATGTTTTAATATTTTATTTATTTTTATATTTACACTATTTTTATATTTTTTTTATACTTTATGATTGATAATTCAAATTTATATGAATTTTTGTAAGATTTATCAATATTCCTAATTTAATTTTGAAACATTTACCTGCTATAGCAGGTCAGAGGACTTGGTTGATTGTATTTTAAATGTAGACGTTATTATATGATACTTTTTTTAGTACAGGGACTTAAGTGACGGTTTGGAAATAGTAGAAGAGTTTATTTGCCCCCCTTATCCAATAATTTTATAATACACATTATTTAGCGATAATTAGTAATTGTGATTATTATTTGCTATTTCCCACAAGTATTATAAAAATCATCAAAGCTTTTAAAAACAGAATGTCATGCATGTCTAAGCAGAGAGTTTACTGTGTATTATAATTTTTTTATGCATCTCATCCAAAACTGAAAACATTTACTCTGCAATATCTCCTTTTAGGGAGGCGGATCTTGTAATAACTGTGTTTATTGTTCAAATATTTATACGATGCATCTTTACGATATTTGTATTGCATGTTGTGGTTCAAAGTGTTGCATTTTATTCTGTGATCGAATAACAGTTGCATATTAACGTTCAACAGGCTGCATCCAAAACAAGTTTGATTTTATTACCAAAATTTCATTGTGTCATTCTAGCATTTAGATCAATTTAATGGATCACCAATGTATCTTATCTCTAATCTCTCACTTCATTTGCCGGTGCTAAATGGACTATCAATGTAAATACGAAAAGAAGTAGAAATTGTGCAGTTAAAATTTATCTAGAAGAAAATAGTATTAACCACCCAATTTTCATAAACAATAAAAATGGTAACACTATTACCTAAGAGACATGAAAATATTGTTTTTTCATTTCTAGTCATGTATATGGGCAAATATTCTTAACCATTGTTCTATGAAAATTTTGCACAATGGTCCTGTTTTTGTGTAATTAATAAGTCCTTGGTCTAAAAAACAATCTGACTAATTATATTTTTTAATGTGAATTTTATATTAAAATGATCATTATTAAAAATATTTTCATAAAAATATAAGATTTATAAATTACATACAAATATAAGAATTAATTTCATTGCCCAAACTTGCCACCACAAATCATGAAAAGTCAATATGACAATCTTTTTATGGACGGAGGTAGTATATTTTTATAAAGATTGTTATTTATTACCATAAAATTAATGTCTGTTTCAACTAAATTTAATTCTACGATCACAATTAATTACCAATTTTATAAATGAATTTAGTAAGGATTGGATTATTTTAATTTAATACTTCTTCCGTCCCATAAAGGTTTGTCAATTTTCATGATTTAGAAGTCTCAAAAAACTTCGTCATTTCTATTTAAAGTAGTAAATGTATCATTAAAGTTAATTATCTCTCATTTGATTTGCACAAATTTTAATCACACAATTTTAACTTTATTATTACATTGGTCAAAGGGCATGCTTGAACATGTACATTTTTTATTTTTAGGGAAGTTCAATCATGAGACTTAGATGTTGCTAAAGAAAAGGGGATAATATGAATATCACGTTCACGTTGCAAAGTGGAATTGTGGAAGTATAAAAGTATAAAAGCAAGTTTTTATAAGATTGTAAAATAAATTTTAGGATAGGAAATGTAAGAATGTAAATAAATTATATTGTTTGATTTGATTTTTTAATGTATATATTGTAGGACACTTTTGTAAAATATTTCGTATTTTACCATATAAAATATTTTCCTTGGGGTGGTAAAATATTTTACATATGTTTGTATAAAGTTGTAAAATTACATTGTATGTTATTTAAAATTAAATTAAGCAACTAATCAAACATTGTATTTGTATTTGTACATGCAAAGTTGCTTCTCTAAACTTCATAAACAATCATTTACACTGCAATAACTTATATCTAATTACTCTAAACATTTTGTATATCAAACTTATTTTTTTTAAATTTTTCAATCATTGAAAGCTAACGGTTTCAAAAAAGCTCAAAAGTATTTCTTCAATTTTTCTTGCCAAACATACACATATACTTCAAAGACTTGGCTCGCCGTTTACAACACTATATACTTCATCAGTCCCTAAATAAACATCTCACTTTCCTTTTAGTATGTCCCTTAAAAATATTCTCTTTCTTTTTTTGGTAAACAAAACTATGCAAAAAGTATCAAAGAGTTGCAAACAATATTTAAACAATACTAAATAGTCATTTTGTTATGTTAAGACCCGTGGTTCAATCCAAAACGGTTAATTTTTAACACCACTCCTCAAGACCAGACTCTTCGTATGGATCGCGCTGTCATTCATTTTTTCCCGTCAATTCATCGTCAATCATTTTTCTCAAGGGGTCCACACCATGGATCAATTTAGTTCTGATACAATTTTAAGACATGAAGTTTCATCCTAAAAGGTTAAACTAATAGGAGGAGTAGTTCATGTTTTAATATAGCACTTCGTTCACTCAAACATTTCCGGTGTAGGATTTAACGTGTTGAGATAGGGATTTAAACATTTCTGGTGTGTAAATCAAAAGAGACCTTTTAAATATTGAGATAGGGAGTGCACTAGTTGCCATTTTAAACCAGAATATTTAGGAAAAAAGAAAAAAAGAAAGAAAAGAAAAGACATACGCACAAGCCGGAAGGAACCCTACTCCGGGAGATCTAACCAGCTTCACTCCCTAAGTTTCAAACAGATCTGAGTATTACTTGCATTTGTGGAATGTAGAGCTTCCTTCTGGTTGCCCCAATCGGTCTTCTTCAACCTTCTGCTGAAAAAGCCTCCCAAAGCACCATCAGCTCGTTGCAACTATTCCATCATCAGCGGACTCACCACTCTCAACTCTTTCCAAACCACATTCCGACGCCCTCATCCCTTCTGTTGTGCATCTAGCACGGCCTGAACTTCACACCAAACTTCGCACCTTTATCTCCTTCCGCAGTATCCAGAGGCACCACCAGTGTTCGAGGCCTTTGACCTCTTATCTGGTCAAACACTCGTCCTGTGAACTGTTCGCTATCGAGTGGTCGCCACTTGATTCATCTCCAGGTTTGACATATTCGTGCTTCACAGTGGTAGATGAAAGAGGCATATATCAATCATGTGTTATAAATGGTTGTACAAGTTTAATGAAATGGTAAAACGCCGTTCAACATGATAGCTCATTGGATGTAGGAAGATGAATGTCTGGACCTCTGAGGAGCACTAATAAAATAATGGCAGTGACAAAATTTCCTTGATCAATAAGAAACAATGCACACATACCACGAGCCTATGACTTGGCATATGTTTAGTTGTGTAGATTTTGATGAAGTGAATTGAGTTGAATACAGAAGCACTTACTGGTATGTATGGAGTTGGGTAGTAGAGGATGCCAGGATGGTGTTGCAAGTACGTATTTTAGTAGCCAAGTATAAGCTGCATAACAGTACTTAGGCCTACAAGATATATACTCCCTCCCTCCCAATAGTAACTCCCCTTTTGACTTTTCACATAGAATAAGGAAGTGAGGATTGTGTGTTTGGGGAGAGTTATGCAGAGGAGACAAAATAATATGAATCACAAATTCTTATAAAAGGCAAATGAAGTTAATTTTCTGACGGGCAATAAATGAAAATGCGATGATAATATTGGCAGGGAGGTAGTATTTGTTAAGCACAACACCCCCTTTCCCAGGAAATGTTAGGTAATCATTTAAAAGTATGCGTGAAGAACAAATAACATTCACAAAGTATAAACTGTGAGCCAACTCTGAGTAACAAGCCCAAATTATCGTATTTTGTTTGTGAGTGTATGATGTATACTCCATTTTGTAATGATATTTTTTCTTTTGAATAGAAGCACAAGCACTTCCCCTGAAAGATTAAACTTGCCCAATAGCTATGCTATTACAAATTAGAGTCTGACCGCCATCCTCTAAGGCTGACCTCTATTTAAACAAAACCGTAGGATTAAAAGAACTAACCAGGATAAAAAGGACAATAAAATAGTTCAACACCTGCTGTTATTTGGAAGAATATAAAAAAGATGTAGTGTATCTCCTAAAGATTTGAAAAAATGGATTATCTCATTTTAAATGCAAAGATCTCATAGAGGGAGCTCCAAGACTTCTTAATTTTTTCCTTTCTCTCGATGACGTGAGTAAACTATCCGATGTTTCTCTTTTAGTGGTCTGTCAAGTGCACTTGTGTTTCAACATATACTCCCTTGCATCCCATAAAACTTGGCCATATTGCTTTTTTTGGGTCAATGATGGTCAAGTTTGACCAATAATATATTTCAATATGAAATTATTTCAAAACTGAAAATTATATGGAATTGGTCTTTGTTAAAAGTACTTTTAAAAAGTATAAAATTTATAAATTTCACAAAATATAATAACTAAAATCATTGCCCAAACTTTATTGCCATTGACCAAGAAAAGTGAATGTTTTTGGGGTGGTTGGATCTGCTTCTTAAAACGTCTTCTGCTCTCTGAAGAAGCAGAAACAGATATTGGAGTGTTTGAGTGGAAGTGCAGAAGTACTTCTAAGTGCTCTAAATTACTCATAGAAGCACTTTTTGAGAAGTTGAGGGAGACCAACTTCTTAAAAACTGATTCTGATTCTACTTTTGCTTAAAAAAAAAGCAGAAGCAAAATCAACTCCATAGACCCCCATTTATTTTCTATGTAGACTTATACATTTAACCGGCAGTCTACACTAAATATTTTCTCTTTCAAAGGCAAAATCTTTCTTCATTTTGGCATATATGTCTCTACCTCAGAACTATATAATATAAATTGAGTTCTTTATACAAAGTCAGTTGTGATGATTGAATTCTTCATTCTGTGTTTGTATTTTAGTATCTGTAATCTATAAAATCTTTGGCTTAACTGCCTAAGATTAATAAATTGAATTGTTGGCCGTTTCTTGAAAAATGTTTGAGAGGTTTAAATTTTACATTTTGGTGAGAAATGATGAATAAAGTAATTCATCTGGGGCGGGGGTTGGTTGGGAGGCAAATACAAGGAATTAGGCAACTGCGACTCAGTAAAATCATTTTATTTATTCACTCTTAATAATTTAACACTAAATTGGTAGTGCTAGTCTTGAAACTGAAATCAGAGGACACCGTTTAAACTGAACATGATCTCATCATTCTCTCTTTACTTCTTAATTTTCCTCATGATGCTATTATAAATTCTAGTTTCATTTTTTTTCCTATTCTTTTGCAGGGATGATGTATCCTTCTGTATCTTCACTTTTGCATGATCAAACAATTATATCCATGGCCAAGGAAACAGTAGTTCAGCGTTGCATCTCAAATGATTTGCAGAAACCTTCTTATGTTTGATCAGCACCAAAATGGGGCAGTTTTGTGTTAAAATTTCACGGTTGCTGCTTTTATACTTCATACTTCCATGCACTTTCTTACAAGTCACCCGCCCTCTTAGCCCTGATGGTAAGTTGTTTATTCTGTGCTGCATATATGACCTACCTGTTTTATATACTTTAGGGGTTGATCTCCACTTGAATCACAAAATGTGCAACGAGGAGTATCAAGCTTTAAGCTAGTGATCTCTATTAAAGTTATTATCCAAGTCAGCTGCCTTGGTGACATTCTCAATCAAGGGTTTATACACTTTTACATCACAATTTGTTTGAGGTGTTTCTATGATGGAATGAATAGGAGTGTACTTGTGGTTCTTTCATCTATTTATACTCCTGTGGTTTGCATTCCATGATTGTAAAAGTTTCCGTGTGATGTTAAAACCTCCTCACTTTAGGTGTTATTAGTATAATGCTGGATTAAAAAAAAGCTGAAACAGTTTATTCCCCCCTCCAGTCCCTATCATATGCAAGAGAAGCATTTGGTGCTTTGTTTGTATCTTCCTTCTGTACTTAATCCACCATTTCGTTACAATTTCAGTTACTTTTCTGGAATAAATGGGATGTATTGGATATGATGTAGAATTATGTGATAAGCTGGATGCCTAATAATGAAACTCTTAGTCGTCCTTTCAGAGCATCTGCAGCTCATGATAACACTAATTAGTTGTCTAGCTGACTTATTCGAGTTTATGCTCATTAATCATTGTGGACTCATAAATGTGTGCAGGTGAAGCACTTAATAACTTTAGAATATCAACAATGAGCTCAGATGGCGTGCTTAGACATTGGAGACCCGAAGATGCTGATCCCTGTGGTTGGAATGGAGTGGAGTGTGACCCAAAATCCAAGCGTGTTACATCCTTGTGAGTTTGCATTTTTTCCTGAAATCACTCGAAGTCCCACCCGACTTTTGTATGCTAGATTTTTTGTTTATCAAGTTGTTTAAGTTGTATATTCATCCAGCTGAGCTGTTTTAAATACAATAGAAGTCATGCATGTATCTATGCATTTGTCATATTAAGAGTTCAGATACTCGGCTGTCCTGTCTTTTCACCTTTTCATTGTACTTTTTGTGATTTATGTATCCCTCCTTCCTTTTTGGTGAAGTACTCTAGTGCATGTCTTTATCTATTTGATGCTTTTTAAAGAAAAGTTACTGGCACTCCAAGCTGACACCGTGATATTAATTATCTATGTCAATTTAATTTGTAGCAGATTGAATCTTGACATCCTGTAGCTTCATTCTGGACCTATTAATGATGTTTGTTATCTACTATTCAGGAGCCTCCCTAATCTCAAGTTAAGTGGACCTATATCACCAGATATTGGGAAGCTAGAGAAGTTGCAATTCTTGTATGAACTTCTTCTTATTTTCTTCAGTGCTTATAGTTACTTGCTTACTGCTATCCTGCTGACCCTGCATTTTATATGCAGAGTGCTTCACGACAACAACTTTTACGGGGCAATACCTCCTGAGCTGGGAAATTGTACGGTGTTGAGATCATTGTAAGCTCTCCCTATTTTGCTTAAAGATATTACTTTCAACATTTTTGCTACATGATCTGACACTTCTACCTTTTGAGCTTGGATCTTTGACCCCATAGTTTTCATTAGCTCATCAAATATTATCAATTAGCAAAACATCAATCAAGATCAATAAAGGAAACCATATGATTTTCATGCATTTGCTAGATGCGTGTGCACGGCTATCTGCCTATATGCTATGTGGCATTATAATTCGTAATTAGTGCCCTGATACGTCATTATCTTTAGTTAGCCATTTCCTGGTTTGCCTGCAAATATTTTTTCATCGGCATTAGTTTAGATTACTGATATGCACTATTGATACGTGGATGCTTGTGATACACAATTATGAGTAAGGATTTCTTTATGCATTTAGCTTCTAATGCATCCTTTATCCGCATGACAGGCTTCTGCAGGGTAATTATTTAAGCGGCATTATTCCGGATCAAATGGGAAACCTTTCTGATCTTGAAAATATGTAAGTTACTTTCCTTTACTTAATAAATAAATAGTGTTGTTTCCCGTTCTCATCTAAGACAAGCCTTAATGTGGATAAAATTTCCTTGAGCCTTTACTATTAGAATGGCATCTTGACTGCATCTATATGTTTTATTTTCCCCAACTTTATGAAGCTCGTTCTCTTTCTAAGAACTGAGCCAAAATAAGGGAGCAGAGGTCTTTTTTCTTGCAAGGCACCTTTGTGGTCTATTATTGGAAATATATGGGGAATTCTGAATGTAAGTTAAGATGGAAGGTTAGTTGGTGCTAGTTGCACAGCCCATTTAGATCAGCCCCATTTACTTTAGCAGCTCACACAGAATGGTTACGTGCTATTTGAAGAGTATTTCCTTTATTAGAATGTAGGAGAGATGTAAGGTGTTTTTTATCTGTTCGCCAGTTATATTAATATTAGGGCTGGATTCGGTTCGGGTCCCGAACCGATCCAGTGTATCCCTAGGACCGAACTGATATATCGGTTGTCTAAAATTGCATAACCAAAACCGAACGGCTCATGTACGGGTCCCAATTTGTTGGGAACCGATTTTTTGGGTCGGTTTATCCCAAAACCGAAACAAACCGACTATTTAAAAAATAATCATAAATTTGAGCTACTATTCAATGCATTAAGCCCAATAAGGCTTGCCGGTAGAATTTTGAGCCCAATAAGGGCCACTCAATTACTACATTAGAGTAGTACGTAACCGACTTGGTCACACCCTTTCTTGTGAGCAGCTCCCTCATTATATAGAAGTTTTGGAGGAGAAAGCCTACTCATTTTCCGGTGTGGGAAAAAGTAGTATGGGAAAGAAAAATTAAAGAGTGGAAACTGGAAGGTTAAAACAATAAAGAAATCTGCTCTTGGATTCGAACCGATGACGCGTAGCGAAGGCTTTGTTAGGGCCGACCACCTTACCAACACTTCCAATGCGTCCCTAGTGCACTCAACATGTATTTATATATTTTCTAAACATCATTAACTGTGATTAATAATAATAATAACAATTATTATAGCAATATTAATAATCAGTTCGGTTCGGTCCAAACCGATATTTTGTGTGTATAAACCGATTCCGAACCAATTTTTTTCGGGTCCAAAATTTATCGGTTCGGTCCGGTTTGTTTTTTTTCAATGCGGTTCGGTTATTTTCGGATTGGTTTTCGTTTTTTCGGTTCAAAATGCCAGACCTAATTAATTAATATTAATTAAAGTTTTGCTATAGTTTTAACATCTATTAATAAAAGAAATTGAGTTGATTAATGTATTTGAAGGCACATGCGTGCATGGTTATGATTATCAACTTATGTGTGTGATATTATTTTACACCTTTACAAGAAATGAGATGCTGTATTTACTTGAAATTTTGAATATACATGCATGCTTATGAGTATTAATACATGTGCATGTTTGTTATATCCATATATAGATACGATCTAACCTGCAGTAATTTCGACCTTTTTTTAAATTTAGTTGATCAGCAAACAGAAAAGAACTTAAATTTTAAATATTAATTGCTTCTATTTAAATTTATAAATTAATTTTTAAGAATGATGTGGTGATGTTACCTCAGAGCTTTTAAGTGCCCTGTCTTTTGCTTGTTTCACTATATATATTTCATTATTTGCAAAATTTGTTCTGTTTATTAATATGGTGAAGGTCATAACATCATATATTGTTTTTTATGCAGGGATCTTTCAAGCAACTCTCTCAGTGGAAATATTCCTCAATCACTTGGGAAGTTGGGTAAACTGATATCATTGTGAGTGAAATAGAATTGGTCATGTTAAATACTTAAATGCGAGTTTGAGATCCAAATATGGTTTATTCTTTGTTTATTATGTACAGCAATGTTTCAAATAATTTTCTGACCGGTCAAATACCTTCTGATGGCCACCTTGCAAACTTCAAAAATGCCTCGTAAGTATTTTTAAATTTTATTAATTTACTTTTTACGTAGTAGAGAAGAACCACATATTGCTTTTCTTTAAAGGAAAATTGCAATATTTTTTGGGCGGACAAACTGATGAAAAAGGAATGTATATATATAGTTTAGTTCCACAGGGAGTATTAATTAAATATATATTGGACAAAATGTTAAAATTTTAATTTTTGGGCAAAAATGCATGTAATGCAGTTACTAACATTCACTAGCTAGTTACTTTCTGGGAACTGCCTAACTCCAATGGTAATTGGTCATTTTTTGTTGACATGCTGCATCGTTAACATTTTTGTCCTAAAATTAAGGATTAACATTTTTGTCCAATAGGTAGTGAATTGGAAATATTTAAAGGATTTTTCCTTGTGATTATTATGTATATGAGAATGCCCTTTTAGTCTGGACTTGGTTCTAATGTAGTTATATTGAGTGAATGTATGCCATACACTTTGATATTCAAATATTTCTAGGGACCCCAAAAGGAATATAGAATTGATAAAGTTTACGTCAATTTAGTAAAACACAATCTGAAATACTTGTCATATTCGCAATCTTGAGTGTTTTGATTCTCTCCTGATTTACAATTGTCACTTGTTTCATGGGACTATAAATATTTACTAAGTTTCAGTATAAATTAGATAGTGAAATAATGTCAACATTTATAGTTTAGAATATCATGTTCGTATATGGAATGGGAGCTTCATGCTGCATGTATCATATTTTGTGTACTGTGAACAGGTTTAGATAGAAATTTGGCAATGTACCAAGTTCAATATTTGCAATCGCGAGAAAAGTGTGTATTACCTGACACATCTTTTGTCACCCTTCTGTGCTGATGTCTCCCCTATCTTTTGCAGTTTTTTTGGAAATCGTAATTTATGTGGACAACAAATTAATTCAGTATGCAGAAATAATGCTGGAGGTCCTACGCCACCCTCGCTTCCTCCCAATCCCGGTAAATTTCATGTATTCTTATTTTTATTTTATTTTCAACACTTTCTTCTGTGTTTATCTATATGGAGATGGGTAAATATTGACTAGTGAATTTGTATTCTGTTGCTTGTCGTGGAGGGTGGGGTGTATATTCTGACTTCTGATGTCATATATTCTTTTTAATATTTTTTTTTTCATAAATTGGGTCTGCAGGATAAGGGAAATAGTGAGACACATTTGATGTCATAGATTATAGATAATTTTCATCTTCTGATGGCTAGCAATCTCTTACTTAGATGATGTGCTTGTTTTTGTTTGAAATAAAATGAAGCAAATACATAGTTGGACTATGCTCCTTATGTCATCTTATTATCAAAATACGATCATAGATCAATTTTTCTCAGCAAAGTCATATTTAGGGTTGTCAAATAGTGAACAGATCAACAGGGTATCATTATTTTTATACTACTATGTATCTATCTGGTTTAATCATCAATCCAGTATTGATTTTCAATTTTAAGACAATTCCATTCATGTTTTGCATAAATGCACAGATAATTACATAAAATAATTTTGTTCTTTTGTTTTCCTCATAAACTTATCTTGTTTGTGTGAGTCGTTTCTCGTTTCTCTTAATTTTTTGCTGAAGTATCAAAACAAATCACTCCCTTGGTTTTCAGGCAAGAAAAAAGCTGGGCAAGTGCTAATAAGTACATCTGCTACTGTGGGTGCTTTGCTTTTGGTGGCTTTGATGTGTTTCTGGGGCTGCTTCCTCTACAAGAGATTGGATAAAAATGAAAGTGGAAGCCTGGCTAGGGACGTTGGGGCAGGTTTGATCCTTGTTGTGCATCTATCCCATTGAAAGATCATTTTGAATTAGGTGTGGCTATGGTTTTCTGTTCTATCTTTGGTGAAAATCATCACAAAATTTTATCTTTTCAGGTGCTTCAATTGTAATATTTCATGGAGATTTACCATACTCATCAAAGGATATAATAAGGAATCTGGAATCACTGAATGAAGAACACATAATTGGTTCTGGGGGATTTGGAACTGTCTACAAGCTTGTAATGGATGACGGCAATGCATTTGCTTTGAAACGAATTCTCAAAATCAATGAGGGATTTGATAGGTTTTTTGAAAGGGAACTTGAAATTCTTGGTAGCATTAAACACAGACACTTGGTAAATCTGCGAGGATATTGCAATTCTCCAACATCAAAGCTGTTAATATATGATTTCTTACCTGGAGGTAGCCTGGACGAAGTTTTGCATGGTATGCTAATTTATTTACATTTTCCTTTTGATATATTTAATGGGTTTAACTCTTTAATGATGAGTTGACTTCTGTCTGAATATATTTCTTCACAAATCTAGCTACTCCTGCATGCATTTTTTGAGCATGTGTGTAAGTAATTAATTGTCCTGTATGTTGTGCTGTAGAATTTGGCGAAGTAACACTTGGAATATAGTTCATACAAATTGATTTGTACTACCTCCGTTCCCATTTTAACTTCCAAATGGGTTTGGCACAAAGTTTAAGATAGTGGATATTGTGTGGTGGAGAGTTGTGCAGAGGAGAGAGAAATGTGTAAGAAATGTTGTGAACCACAAATTCTTTACCAAAAAGGGAAAGTGGAAGTTTTAATTGGAACGGACGAAAAAGGAAATTTGGAAGTTTATTTAGGAACGGAGGGAGTATATTTTTACTCCCTCCGGTCCTAAATAAAGTTCACACTTTCCTTTTTGGGCCGGTCCAAAATAAAGTTCACACTTCTTCTCCCTTCCTTATTTGGCAAATTATCTACATCAAAACAGTGCAAAACTGTGCAAAATAGTGCCAAACAGCGCCAAACAGTGTACTCTACAGTAAAGTCAAATTTATTTCCTTAATTTGTGTGAAGTCAAACACATAACTTTATTTAGGACCGGAGGGAGTATATCTTTGTAATTTGAATTCTGATATGTGATAGTTTAATGTGTTGTTCTGCACAGAGAGATCTGATCAATTAGACTGGGAAACACGAGTAACTATAATAATGGGAGCTGCAAAAGGGCTTGCATATTTGCACCATGATTGTGCACCTAGAATCATCCACCGCGACATAAAGTCTAGTAACATTTTGCTAGATGGGAATTTTGAGGCACGTGTATCTGACTTTGGATTGGCCAAATTACTCGAGGATGAGGAGTCACACATAACCACAATTGTGGCAGGCACCTTTGGTTATTTAGCTCCAGGTGTGGTTCACATTGAAATTTCATTTCACTTTATTATGTTTCACAATCCCCAATACTCCCAAACACAATTCCATCAGTGATTTGAATTTTATCCATTATCTTCAGTACCTTTTTGCAACCTATATTGGGTATGGTGGTATGGAATTTATTTTGACAATTAAGATTTATCATGAGACCAGTGATGATATGGTATAATTGCTAGTGATGACCCATTATAAGATTGATGTGGTAAAACCATCATGCAAATCATAGAACCTGTCAACCTGACTATAATGTAATGTTTGTCCTGACTCTAAAAGGCAGGGTTGATTTTTTAAAAAGCCATTTTATAATTAAAGATTAACAAATATGAACATGGGGGGCATATCTAAGAATAACTGTAATGGTCGACATTATTTCAGATACATTAGCATGCATGGTGGGGTAATGATTTTGGTATGGGATTCCAATAAAGTGGGGCTAATTTCTATCTATTTAATAGCTCAAATAAAATATCGCGTTCATCCTGTTGCTTCATATCAGAAAGTTGAAATAGAAAAGATTATACCTTTATCTGTCGATTGTTATCCGTGCATGTCTACCTTGCAGGACATAAAAAGCCGTGTCCGTGTGTTAAATAGGTAGTTGGATTTTTGTGCTTTGCGTCTTTGACAAATTTTGTTCTTTCCTATAGTTTATTTCATTGAAGTCGCACTGTCACCTGCTGGTATCTTTTGATGTTCTCTGACATAATGGTTTATCTAAAAACATGTGTTTGTCTAATTTGCAGAATACATGCAAAGTGGTCGAGCCACAGAGAAGACAGATGTTTACAGTTTTGGCGTTCTGGTTCTTGAAATATTGAGCGGGAAGCGTCCAACTGATGCATCATTCATCGAGAAGGGTCTAAACATTGTTGGTTGGGTATGTTTTTCTGGAGCTAATTTTGAGCATTGGTGCACTGGAACCAATATTGAACAATATATGCACATAATTGGTTTTCATTGGTATTTCCCTTGAGTAATGCTAGGTGTCCCGTGAAACGAACCACATCAAATTCCTTTTTAGTTAAAGTCTTGACTAGTAGACCCTAGAGGCCTCTCCTTATGCACTTGTATTATATTCCATCTAAAAGATCCACCTGTGTTATCCCCATTGTCTTTGTCTTGAACTTAAATAACTAATACAGAATTTCATGATTAATTGTTGAGATCATGATATTTTGTACTCCTGCCCTTTTTTTTATCTTTTCAGTTTTTTGGTACGTTCATTTGCGTGTTCGAGGAAAGCAATATGCAGTTAAAATTTTCTCACTGTTATGTTTTTGTCTTCTTAAATTGCCCCCTTAGTGAAAGTGGGCTATATATTTGGGATGGAAGGGGTAATGGTCGGACTGGGGACCATTGACCCCAGGGGACATTACCAAGTTTGAGAAGGATGTACTAAGTCAACAAACTAGGGGCGAGTTATTTATTTTTAGAGTGTTGAGTGGTGAAACAATGTCACATTCAAAAGATGTGTCGTAGAGATGCCCATGTTGCGTTGAATGTGTGGACATACTAGAAAAGAAGATTGCTTGAGGAATAAGACAATCACAAAAGTTGGGAGTAACAAACTAGGGGTGAGTTATTTATTTTTAGAGTGTTGAGTGGTGAAACAATGTCACATTCAAAAGATGTGTGTCGTAGAGATGGCCATGTTGCTTTGAATGTGTGGACATACTAGAAAAGAAAATTGCTTGAGGAATAAGACAATCACACAAAAGTTGGGAGTAACACCTATTCTATCTCTCTTTCTCTTCCATGCCACATCACACTACATTTCACCTTCCCATCGGAGATGCCCTTAGAATTCAGTTCAGAGAAAGTTTTGATACTGTCCTGCTGGACACCTAAAATTATTCTTACCCTAACTGCTCAACATAAACACCAATTCACATAAAAATAATGCAACCCTCAAATCTTTCTTCAATTCTGTGTTTGCTTTGCAGTTGAATTTTCTTGTGGCTGAGAACAGGCAACAAGAAATAGCAGACCCAAACTGTGATGGAGTGCAGACAGAAAGCTTTCATGCGCTCCTCACCATTGCAATACAATGTGTGTCTTCGAACCCAGAGGATAGGCCCACCATGCACCGGGTACTCCAAATACTTGAATCTGAAGTCATGACCCCTTGCCCCAGCGACTTCTACGACTCCAGCTCTGAATGATTGGTTGATTGATTTATTGAACATCTTCAAAATGATATTATCTGCTGCTTCACAACGCAATAGAATATGCAGATGGGCACAAGATCTGAAATGTGACTATTCAGATCCCATTTTTTCATTCGTTCTGTGGGTTTCCTTGGAATCACATTGGCCAATTTGTGGTGACGTTGTTTGGCTCTGTTTGAAATCCTTGTGGTGTCCACTGTTTTATAATGTTTTTCCTTTATTTTTAATTATTATTGTTCTATCTGAATTGTATAATACTGCTTTTCTTATTCTTTTTCTCTTGAGAAATTTGGCTGTATCTGAATTGTATAATATTGCCCGCTGCCAATTAATCCTCATTATGTAATTATTATTATTGTTGTTTTTACTATTATTGTTATAATGCTATCACATTTTACAAGTTTGATTTTAAAACTGTATACTGCCGTAGACAATAGCAATATACGGAGTAGCATACTAGCATGTAGCCATCTAGGGTTGGCCAGGTGGGTCTAGGACTCTAGGCATGGACAGGTTCCGGGTCGAGCAGGTCCAAACCGGGCTTTTTATGTTGGGTTAAGGCCCGGAACTGGCCCGGGCCGGCTCGGGCTGGGTCAGGGGTGGACTCGGGTCCGGGTCGGGCCTAGGCCCGGGCGGGCCGGCGGTTCAGGAATGGTGGACCCGGGACGGGGCCGGGCCTCCGGTTTGGATTTTTTTTTTGCTTTCCTAACCCCCCCACCCCCACCCTCCCAAACCCCCCCAAACTCATCCTACCCATCAAGCCCAACCTGGGTGGAAGTAGGGGTGGACCGGTTCCGGTTCGGGCCTGGTTCGGGCTTGGGCTCGGGCTCGGTCGGGCCTCGGTTCAAGAAGGGGAGGCCCGGAACCGGCCCGGGGTAACCCCCGGGTCCGGGTCGGGCCTCGGTTCTATTTTTTTTTGGCTTTTCCTAGTTAACCCCAACCCTCCCCCACACCCTCAAACCAACCCTAACCACCTCAAATGGCCCAAAATGCCCAACCCAACCCAAAAACTTAGAAAAAAATCAAAAAAAAAAAAATTGACCCGGCCCGGGCCCTAACCGGCCGGGCCGGTTCACCTTTTGAAGGGCCCGAGCCTGAACCGCCATCCCACCGGGCCGGTTGGCTTGAACCGGGCCCGGAATCGGTTCACCGGTCCGGGCCGGGCCCGCACAGTAGCGGGCCGGTCCGGTTCCGGGCCGGTTGGCTCGGCCCGAGTCCACCCCTAGGTGGAAGTAGTGTGGAACCCCAAAAATGAAAAAAAAAATAAAAAAAATTCAATTTGGCCTCGGGCCCGACCCGGCCGGGTCGGTTCACCAAATTTGAGACCCGAGCCCGGACCCGCCCTACCCCCCGGGCCTAGGCCTGACCCGGACCCGGACCCGGACCTGGACCCGAGAACCGGGCTGGTCCCGGTCCCGCACAGTAGCGGGCCGGGTGGTCCGACCCGAGTCCAACCATAGACTGGATACCTCCCCAAACTCCTCCAAAACACCCAGTCCAACCCATTTACTTGCCAAACTGCCAAAGCATTTGAAAACAAAAATTGACCCGGGCCGGTACCAAATAACCCCATAGTGCCATACCCGTGACTCGGCCCAAAACCCCTTGGTTTGGGCCTGGTCAACCGGGTTGGGCCAGTCCCGCACAGTGGCGGGCCGGTCCGGTTTGAACAACCCAGTCCACCCCTAGGTGAGTTGGTGAAACCGAAAATCGAATTGAAAAAATTCGAACTGCAACCAAAATGATTGAATTGCAAGAAAATCGAAGTGAACTCAAAAAATTGAACCGTAGTTGGTTGGTTTTTGGTTTTGGATTTCACATCTCAAATTCGAACCGAACATATAGAACTTTTTAAAACTTGCTATTTTTATTTATTAATCATTAAGTATAGTAATTTTGTTTAGTTCTTAATTCTTAATTCTAAAAAATTAATGTTTGATACTAGATTAATTATGTTTTGCAAGATATTGACATTTAATATTTATGGCTTAATTAAATGAAACACTTGTGCATACACTTAAGTCTATTGCTATAATAATAGTAATATGTTGATATTGTAAATCGTAACTTACATTTTACTTGTTGCACGACAATGAAATTTTGTTGATATATTATTTGTTATGTATGTTTGTTATCACATAATTTTTTATATCGAACAAATATGTATTACTATAAGCTATATTTTAAACAATATAAACTAACAACATGAAACTTTAGAGCATAAAAAACTTTGTCTAAAAAGAAAGTAGAGTAAGTTATTTATATTAAGGAAAATCTTTTATTGAAAAAGAAAATGAATTAGTGTACACAACATTTACAAATACGATTTTAACTTATGGATACACTGTATACAATTCACAAATAAACTCATGTGTTTAATTGATTTAGAAAATGTTTAGATTGGTATACACGTATTATCTACTTCATTGCTTGAAAGTGCATTTGTTTCTTCTCTTTTTCAATTATGTTTTTGTATTGTATTACTCCCAATTATAGTTTGTTGTAGTTTACTTTTTTGTTTTTGTTTTCCAATACTAATTTTTATTCAACAAAAATATTTTGGCAAAATCCGAAAAAATCGAAATCGAATCGAAATAAACCGAACTGAACAAACCGTGGTTACAAATTCTTGAACATAATACCGAACTGAACCAAACTTTTTACTTTGGTTCGCAATTTGATTTTAGGTAAAACCCAAACCGTTTGAACCGAACTCACCCTTTATTAGTATGCGTTGTTAGATTGCTATGTGGACATGTGAAATACGTAAAAGACTTCCACACTTCCAGTATTACCTTATGGGAAAACTGTCAATTACACCCTCGTACTATGGGCGAACCCTCAATTGAGCCCTCCTACTTCGATAACCATCAATTGAATTCGCCAAGTCTCCAAAATCAATCAATTAGGTCTACATTACCGGTTGGTTCCCGGTTTGCCCGTTCCTTGCCTTCCTGGCGCTGACGTGGACTTTGCCTATCGGTCTTTCAGTGCTGACTCATTTAAATCATTTAACTTCCACTATCCACCCCCAATCAACACCACACCGTGCCCTAACCTTCATTCACGACCTTAATTCGAAGCTCTGCGAGAAGATAAGCAACATAGCACTCCTCGACGCTGGTCATCCACTTCTCACCGTCGACCTCGTGACCAACAATGGCCTCCTTGTCTACAGCAACGAGTACAAAAGAGCGAAGAAGCACTACAAATTATGAGCCTGCAGTGTACTGTTGGTGTGGATTGAAAGCGCCGCTGTGCGTGGGAAGGGAGAGCGGAAGACAATTCTATGGGTGTCAAAATTGGCTGGTAAAACGTCGAAAGAATTTACATTTTTTCATTTGATGTGCATATATAATATTGTAGGCTGTGCAGGTTATGTTTTGAACAAATCTTGTATTGGTAGTGATTTTGAATTTGAAGAACCTGTTCGTGTGATAATAGGTGTGTAATTGAAAATATGTGTTCGTATTGTCAATAGGGAGAAGGGTGCGGCTACTTCTTGTGGAAGGATGACATAGGAAGAGAAGACATGATCAGGCCTGGGCAAAAGAGAGATAAGTTTGATGAAGTAAAGACCATGGTTGAAGGTGCTGTCCAACGCTTAAGCCATGTTCAAGCAGATGTAACCACTATAAAAACCGTTCTTGAGAATGAGGTTAAGGCCAGAAAGAGGTGCAGGAAGCTCGTTGTCATAGGGTTGGCTGTATTTCTGTGCTTTGCAACAAATATGTATTCAAGCTATCATAGTTGAATTGTGTTGGATGTAATGGTATCTATGTTTGAAAAAGTTCACCACCAGTTTATTGTCATATAAAGTGGAATGTAGTGTCATATGTATCTATGTTTGAACAAGTTCACCACACGTTTTCATTTTAGGTACTTTTGTATTGTCAAGAACATAGATTCCTGGAATGTATTCATTGTGTATGTTGTGTGGCATTTCATATACCTGTATACACTTAGAATATGTGTAGTATTAAAACTTCAAAATATACACTTAAAACCACAAAGATAAGATCATCTATTATTTCATATACAACTGACATTCAAGTATGGACAATAAAGTGTAGTACACCCATGAAATTCAAGAACTGACATATATTACTGCCAATAATGTAGTGCACCCATGAAATAATTCAAAAGCAATCTTTCTTCAGCAATAATGCATAGTACCCGTTGAACTACAATAATGCAATAAATGACCCCATCAATGGTCATCACAAAAAAGGTAGTTTGAACCTCAGCCCTACATTCATACACCAAAGCAATCCCAATATAGTACATTATCATTACATCCACCTAATGACAAAAAACTACTTCCATAAATGTTCATTAAAGCAATCCCTCCTATTGTTCTCCAATCACTGTCTCTCCAGGCTGGCCAGGCTGCATATAACATACAAAGCAAAATGAGAAAACATCATTGCCACAAATTGAAATGACTTAAACACACAAGTCAGGTGTGAACTTACTTCCAGAATGGTTTCACTAGTAGCTTCATCGACATACACACCAAACCCTGATTGCCTTCTGCTTGTATTGCCCCCCCTCTTCACTCTTCCTCCTCTTGGGCGTCTGCCTCTTGCACTTGGAGTCACTGTACCTGCAGTAGTAGAAGCATGTTTGGTAGGACATGATTTCTTGTTGTGGCCTTCTCCTCCGCACAATGAGCAAGTCATGATGCGCCCTTTTCTTGAGAGTTGTGAAGAACTGGGTGGACGTGCTTCACTTTGTTCCCTTACACGCTTCTTTTTGGGTCTGCCACTCATCTTCTTTGGCAAAGGAGGTAAGATCTCTTCATGCTGGGTTCTAGGCCATAACAGCTCCCCATTGATAGGATGCAATGTGTAGGAGTAAGTTTTCTGGTACATCTCCTTACTGTAACAGTGGTCAACGTATGCTTCTGCCTCCTCCCCCTTGTCATAGATGGCACAAATGGAATGGGCACAAGGGATACCACTGAGATCCCACCTTCTACAAGAACATGATCTCTTCTTAAGACTGACTTTGAATTGCCCTCTTCCTTTCTTGATTTCATATCCATCATCACCATTGAAATCCACATTCCATCCCTGACTTGCTAGAATATTAGTATTCAGCTTCTTCATTCCACCCATAGAATTGTCTTCCGCTCTCCCTTCCCACGCACAACGGCGCTTTCAATCCACACTAACAGTACACTGCAGGCTCATAATTTGTAGTGCTTCTTTGCTCTTTTGTACTCGTTGCTGTAGACGAGGAGGCCATTGTTGGTCACGAGGTCGACGGTGAGAAGTGGATGACCAGCGTCGAGGAGTGCTATGTTGCTTATCTTCTCGCAGAGCTTCGAATTAAGGTCGTGAATGAAGGTTAGGGCACAGTGTGGTGTTGATTGGGGGTGGATAGGGGAAGTTAAATGATTTAAGTGAGTCAGCATTGAAAGACCGATAGGCAAGTCCACGTCAGCGCCAGGAAGGCAAGGAACAGGCAAACCGGGAACCAACCGGTAATGTAGACCTAATTGATTGATTTTGGAGACTTGGCGGATTCAATTGAAGGTTATCGAAGTAGGAGGGCTCAATTGAGGGTTCGCCCATAGTACGAGGGTGTAATTGACAGTTTTCCCTTACCTTATTGATTACTTCAAACGGCACTGAGATCAGATGTCACACGAAATTCCTGTGGTACGCATTCTATTATTTCAATGGGTATGCATGTCCATTTTAAAACCCTGTGCAATAAACAAATCACAAATGTGACACAATAGGCATGTGATGAAAAACCAAAAAATCACATTTTTTTATGAACTACGAACTAGGACTCTAGGAGTTGTTGATTCTGAAAAGGCATTGTAAACTGTAAAGCAGTCATGAAACTGAGCGGATATCAATTCTCAAGAAGGGGAGGAGGGTAGACTCAGTACCCTAACTGGTCATCTGTTCATAGATACTACTCCCTCCGTCCCTCAATACTTTGCCAAGTTTGACCGGCACGTGGATTAATAAAGTAAAAACTGTGTGGTTGAGGTTTGTGCAGAGGAGAGAAAATTAACTAGAACCACAATTTTTTTACTTAAATGGGAAAGTGGCAAACTTATTGGGACATCCAAAAAAGGAAAGTTGGCAAAGTTATAAGGGACGGAGACAGTATGTACTATTTTTCTGTCTGGACATAGACAGGGGCATAACCAGGATCGAAGTTTCGATGGACCAGTACAAAGAATTATTTCAAATAATTTTTACACATAAATTTTCACACTAAATTCAAAGAAATTTCAAATTTGGAGTGAGCCGAGGTCCGGCTGGCCCCTCTACCTCCGCCCATGGACATAGATTGTAATTAAAGCTGGTAACGGTTTGTTAAAAAGTAGTAGGGTGGTCATGGACCCATGGTCCTTGGGTTGGGATTAGGGTTATTCTAGTTCCAAACTCGGTTAGTAATAACAATTTTGGGTGGCACGGGTTAAATCTTTGCTTTAATCTTGTTCTATTTAAATTGAGATTGGGATGATTTGGGATGTTACAAGGTCCAAACTCCAAACTATCAAAAATTAAATTTACAAGAAAGGTCTACTAAACTTTTTACAGTACATATGCACAAAAAGTTTAACACCTCTACAATGAATAAAAGTTATTAACAAGCTTTCTATTAATAAATAAAATCTATTAAATGTTAACCAAATTTAGCAAAAACCACACTAATCTAACAAAAAATCTGTAAAATTAAAAGGAAGAAATAAAGTAATTTATTAAAAATTATTTTGATTTAGTTTTAAGAAACTCATACAAATATATAGAGTGCTAGTGAAATCTAAAGCAGCATATAGTACTATATACTTGAGAATTTGAGCTTGAAAACTTAAATGCATTTTATTCCAGTTGTTCCGTTAATATTGTCACATTTTTTCGTTTTTGTCCGTCTCACTAGTTTCATATCAAATTTGGTAAACTTTGTGCGATTTTATATCGTTCCTATTTTATTATCATTTTACCAATTCAATACAAGGCACCTAAAATCACTATTTTGTAACCCCACCACATACCCTCCTCTTGTACCAATATTGAGGACGGAGGCAGTATTATTTATTTTTTGACCTTGCATTACATATTAAGCAAATGCTAATACAAGTTATAATCATAGAAATGAGACAGTGAGACATAATAGAACAATCTTCTGATGTCTGTCCTATCCTGTTTTAAACTGGTACAGAATCAATATGCTCTAATCACAACCCAACTCCGTCAATAAATTAAATTCTCCATCAATTTATACGTATTCACTTAGTCAATTCAGTTTTTACTCCAATCCAGCACCATCAATATTTTCACCATGTAAAGTATTTTAATTACAATCGTACTTTTATTATTATATATCAATTTTTTTACAATATACTACGTTTTTTATTTTGAATAATCATGATTTAAAAAGTCAGGCATTTCGATGTGAAATTACATAAATTTGGAGTTTAGTTTTTTATATGTTACTTCAGACTTATTTTAAAAAAAAATTAAAGATGTAAAAAAAATTAATCATGAGATCTTAATTTTTTAACATTTGAATTTATTTAAAAAATTCTAAAGGTGAAACTTCAAACTTCTTATTTACTTTATATATATAATATTGGTGTCATATGAAAGTATAAAAATTTATGAATTTTGATATATTTTTTTTTTGTAAAAATTGGAATACAAATAAAAATTTTAATACGCTTTAAAGAAAATAGGAATTTTTATTTCCCTTGGGCCTACATCTTTTCTAACGCATGAGCGGTGCAGGGCATTAAAGGCAGAAACTGCACCAACCGATATTTTTTTCTTTTCTAGTTAATTCCTACCCCCACCCCCACCCCCACCCCAAACCCCTCCAAAACACCAAATCCGGCACCAAAGAGCTTTGCAGCCCGAGCCCGCCCCCCAAAACCCCCCGGATCATGTCATAGGACCGGGCCCGGTACCGGGCAACCGGACTAGGCCGGGCAGATCGGAACCGGTTCATGCCTAGATTCGGCTGGAACTAGCTGAAATTAGCCAAATTATCCGATTCAATTGAATTTAATGAGGTTCTGGCTGATGCGGCTGGATCTGATTAATCATAAAAAAAATTAAAACTTATTTTATTATTGAAACAAATAAAAAATTATACTCCCTCCGTCTCGTAGGGTCGGGGTAGGGAAGGAAGGGGTAAGGTAGGGGTAAGAGGTAATAACACGAGGTAACGCAAAAGGTTGGTCAATTTTCTTTTTTTTTGGATGTCCCCAAAAGATTTGCCATTTCCATTTAAAGTAAGAAATATGTGGCTAAAGTTAATTCTACCTCCTCTTCACAAATTTCAACCACACAGTTTTTGCTTTATTAATCCACGTGAAAGTCAACTTTGGTCAACCTTTTCAGGACAGAGGGAGTATGAAAATAGTTAAAAGGGAGATTTCCCAAAATAGGAGTAAATGAAGTTTGAAATTCCAAAATAGGACTACTTTGTTTTTATTCCCGAAATGGGACTAACATGACAGTATTTACTGTCATCTTGTAGCCGTGACTGCCAAATAGTTGCAGTATAGTGCATTTAACATGATAGTATTTATTACGGAGTATAATTAATGACAGTATTTCAATCATGACTGTATTTTTCATACATGACAGTAATAACTCCTATTTCGGGAAGAAAAACATACTAGTCTTATTTTTGGAATTCCAAGTGTCATTTGCTCCTATTTTGGGTAATTTCCCTAGTTAAAATAGCCCCCTTTATAGTAACTGCAGTTAGAAAAGTAACGTCAACTTTACTTACTTTGATTATTACAAAATTTAGCACACATGTTCAAAGTTACATTTTTTTAATGTAATACTTTGATAGAGATTTAAAAAAAAGAAACGTTTAAATAATTTACATAATTTAACCAAATAAGCAATAGAACAAGTCATTGTTTAAGATTTAGGATACTTATTATATAAATTGTAATTCAGAAAATCAATTCTTTATTTCGATAAAATTCACGTGGTTAAACAACGCAGAAGCTATATAAAACGTATTGGTGGATGTGTACCTTTTAAACTCTTTATTTTCAAATAATTGGATAAAATGTTATATATCCTTTTTTACTTTCAATAATTTTCCTTTGATTTGTCATTTCTTACGTACGGTATAATGTTTCAATACTTTTTTCTAGAGCACTTCAATTATAAAATCAAAGTTATTTTTCTAATTTCTACACTTAGAATGTAATAGATTTTAATGTTCTCGTGTATGTATTAATGATTTTTTTTGAATAAAAAATACTCGCAGAGCTCTACACAAACGAAAAAATTCGCTGCGCTACACTAGCGAAAAAATTTCGCCCAACTACACTAGGGAAAAAGTCACCACCCTATACTATCGAAAAAATTTCGCTCCCCTTGACTCGAAATCCTGGATCGCATACCGGGTGATATACTAGTAAAGCAAAAACATTCTCTTATTCTTATATACAGAGTATTATATATAGGTTTTTTATGAATATTATACCTAAAAGCACTACACCGGAGAGAGAAAATTCTCCCGCCTGTGCGTGTGGCCTAAAAATGTAAATTCGCACCTTATCGATTCTTTCCCATCCCATCATCTTCCTCGTATGCCCATTTCTCGCCAATCGCACCAGAAAATCCTTCTCCTTCTTTACCAGAATCACAGTTCTCTCAACAACTCAAGGAGTATTTCTGCCTTTCTCAGTCGCACTGAAATCACTCTCGCCTGCCTGCGTTGACCTCGCGCTGGTCGAGGTGTTCGAGCACTCCATTAACAGAGTCGACCAGCACAGCTATAACCGATTACCTCCTCCATTTTTGTTCTTCTGTAAATGAGCGCCGACACCAGGTATTTGTTCCCACTTTTAGTGTTTTACATCCTCTTTGCTTCCCAATCCGGTTTTTCTTATTCCAAGTTTGCTTCTAGGTTAGAATTCAATTAACATTTGAAGTTTGCTTCTAGGTTAGAATTCAATTAATTTTGGTTTTTATGTATAATTGTAGGAGATGGTAAAATTGTTAAGTGTGGGGTATCACCTATTCACCCTTGACAAGGAGTACTCTAGGTATTTGTATACGTAGTATATATTATATCAAATTCATTTTATAATGATTGTTTTTGTTTCTTCATTGGTATTTTAGGTATTTGTATTAATATGTATCTGCATTTGAATTTTGATATTTGTATCTATACTACTCTATACTCAGTATGTTAAATTATTCTTTTAGTAATTATGTTATACTACGTATGTTTCTTCATTGGTATTTATATGTTTCTGCATGAATACATTTCCATTTTTCTACTTTTCTGCATTAATCAACCAACCAAATATATGAAACTGCTTCTTGAAAAAATGCAGGTTGCTTGGTAACTTGGCATGGGCTCACATGCAACTGAAGAACTACAAATCTGCAGCAGAGAATTACAGGTATGATTATAGGATGATAGGAAAATATACCCCGTATTAGGAATTATATTAAATATACTACTCCTTCCATCCCAGTTTGATATAACTTTTCTAAGTTAAACTTTAGTGACTTTAGCATTATTTTGTCATAACTGTACTATTTGACCTTTATCTTTTGAGTCATTGTTTGAAAAGTTGCATGTGGTTTTCAGACATAGCACACACTTCAGTATGTTTCATGAGCTTTTTGCTTCACAAACTGGTTTTTCTCATTTCAAGTTTGCTTCTAGGTTAGAATCCAATTAACTTTGGTTTTTATGTTGTAAATTAACCAAGCCAAGTCCCTTAATCACAAGTCTGGTACCGATGTAAGCCCTAAAATAGATTAATCAAAACGTGTTTTGTTAGACGTCAATATAACTTCAACATATAATTGTACCCATAGTAATCTAATCATGTTTATATTCCAAGAGAGTTCAGGTAAAAACGCCAAATACAGACCTAAGCCTTTTAATCGACTTTAATAGGATTAAACTCCAACTCCAGTTTAGCATGAAAAGTGGTTTGAAATATGGAGTTAGTTGAATTACATTTGCTTCTTAAATTTATACTTCATTTTCAAGTCAATCTTTTTATATCAATAAAAATTTTAGCGGGCAATGTTTATTTTCTGATTTTCATTTAAGCTGGTTTGGACTGCATGTAATTGGCTCATATAGTCCTAAACAGAGTATTTAAGTAATTGCCTTTTCATCACTTGCTATTCTCACATACATATGCTAATTTCTATGAGGTGATCTATTGAAACAATTGTGACTCATGTATAGGATGATTGAAATGTTCTTTTAATGTGTTTTAGAATGTTTTCTGAATGAAAAATGATGGTCGAGCTGCAGTTAATTAATCAATGATTTCTATAATTAAATTCATTTTATAATGATTGTTTTTGTTTCTTCATTGGTATTTTAGGTATTTGTATTAATATGTATCTGCATTTGAATTTTGATATTTGTATCTATACTACTCTGTACTCAGTATGTTAAATTATTCTTTTAGTAATTATGTTATACTACGTATGTTTCTTCATTGGTATTTATATGTTTCTGCATGAGTACATTTCCATTTTTCTACTTTTCTGCATTAATCAACCAACCAAATATATGTAACTGCTTCTTGAAAAAATGCAGGTTGCTTGGTAACTTGGCATGGAAGCAATTAAGTCTTTTCGCCATCTCAGCCCTCCAGAGTCCCAAGAATCAATTGACAACATGCATCTTGGTAGAACTGTACAAGATAAGACTGATCAAGAACACCCTTTTCTTGAACTTCCTCTTCTGTGCTCTTGGTAAATGTAGGAGATGGAAAAATTGTTAAGTGTGGGGTATCACCTATTCACCCTTGACAAGGAGTACTCTAGGTATTTGTATACGTATTATATATTATATCAAATTCATTTTATAATGATTGTTTCATGAGCTTTTTGCTTCACAAACTGGTTTTTCTCATTTCAAGTTTGCTTCTAGGTTAGAATCCAATTAATTTTGGTTTTTATGTTGTAAATTAACCAAGCCATGTCCCTTAATCACAAGTCTGGTACCGATGTAAGCCCTAAAAGAGATTAATCAAAACGTGTTTTGTTAGACGTCAATATAACTTCAGCATATAATTGTATCCATAGTAATCTAATCATGTTTATATTCCAAGAGAGTTCAGGTAAAAACGCCAAATACAGACCTAAGCCTTTTAATCGACTTTAATAGGATTAAACTCCAACTCCAGTTTAGCATGAAAAGTGGTTTGAAATATGAAGTTAGTTAATAGGATTAAACTCCAACTCCAGTTTAGCATGAAAAGTGGTTTGAAATATGGAGTTAGTTGAATTACATTTGCTTCTTAAAATTGTACTTCATTTTCAAGTCAATCTTTTTATATCAATAAAAAATTTTGCGGGCAATGTTTATTTTCTGATTTTCATTTAAGCTGATTTGGACTGCATGTAATTGGCTCATATAGTCCTCTTCTGTGCTCTTGGTAAATGTAGGAGATGGTAAAATTGTTAAGTGTGGGGTATCACCTATTCACCCTTCACAAGGAGTACTCTAGGTATTTGTATACGTAGTATATATTATATCAAATTCATTTTATAATGATTGTTTTTGTTTCTTCATTGGTATTTTAGGTATTTGTATTAATATGTATGATGTATCTGCATTTGAATTTTGATATTTGTATCTATACTACTCTGTACTCAGTATGTTAAATTATTCTTTTAGTAATTATGTTATACTACGTATGTTTCTTCATTGGTATTTATATGTTTCTGCATGAATACATTTCCATTTTTCTACTTTTCTGCATTAATCAACCAACCAAATATATGAAACTGCTTCTTGAAAAAATGCAGGTTGCTTGGTAACTTGGCATGGGCTCACATGCAACTGAAGAACTACAAATCTGCAGCAGAGAATTACAGGTATGATTATAGGATGATAGGAAAATATACCCCGTATTAGGAATTATATTAAATATACTACTCCTTCCATCCCAGTTTGATATAACTTTTCTAAGTTAAACTTTAGTGACTTTAGCATTATTTTGTCATAACTGTACTATTTGACCTTTATCTTTTGAGTCATTGTTTGAAAAGTTGCATGTGGTTTTCAGACATAGCACACACTTCAGTATGTTTCATGAGCTTTTTGCTTCACAAACTGGTTTTTCTCATTTCAAGTTTGCTTCTAGGTTAGAATCCAATTAACTTTGGTTTTTATGTTGTAAATTAACCAAGCCAAGTCCCTTAATCACAAGTCTGGTACCGATGTAAGCCCTAAAATAGATTAATCAAAACGTGTTTTGTTAGACGTCAATATAACTTCAACATATAATTGTACCCATAGTAATCTAATCATGTTTATATTCCAAGAGAGTTCAGGTAAAAACGCCAAATACAGACCTAAGCCTTTTAATCGACTTTAATAGGATTAAACTCCAACTCCAGTTTAGCATGAAAAGTGGTTTGAAATATGAAGTTAGTTAATAGGATTAAACTCCAACTCCAGTTTAGCATGAAAAGTGGTTTGAAATATGGAGTTAGTTGAATTACATTTGCTTCTTAAATTTGTACTTCATTTTCAAGTCAATCTTTTTATATCAATAAAAAATTTTGCGGGCAATGTTTATTTTCTGATTTTCATTTAAGCTGATTTGGACTACATGTAATTGGCTCATATAGTCCTAAACAGAGTATTTAAGTAATTGCCTTTTCATCACTTGCTATTCTCACATACATATGCTAATTTCTATCAGGTGATCTATTGAAACAATTGTGGCTCATGTATAGGATGATTGAAATGTTCTTTTAATGTGTTTTAGAATGTTTTCTGAATGAAAAATGATGGTCGCGCTGCAGTTAATTAATCAATGATTTCTATAATTATAATGTAGTGTATTTTGATGTTTTCTGATTATTATAATGTAGGTGAACTAATATAATTACTAATAAATAATACTAAAAATATTAAAATTTAGATTTCTTTTATAAGTATAATTTAGGTTTCTATTATCATATTAATAATTAATATGAAAAATAGTAACCCAAAGTCACAAAGATTGCTCCTTAATAATCAGTGTATATTGATTATTGTTTTTTTGTAAATATTATATATAGATTAATTATTCAATGACTCATTTGATTCATTATTAATAATGGCGTGTAACCCTGTTTTTTAGATAAGATTTCCGCATCTATTAAAAAACAATCTTAAGTAGTAGAGTCCTAATTCATTATTAATAATAGCCGGTAATCCTATTTTTTAGATAAGATAGGCGCATCTAACTATCACAAAAACGAGCTGTAGTTGTAGAGTCCTAATTCCACTGCACAATTTGCATGGCATCTTATCGATAAAACCCATCTATTAATACTACTCCTCATCGCCATCCTCCTGCGGTCCTGCCACAGCTATTCATATTTTCCTCTTCTTATTTTGCTCATATTTTAACAATTACAAGGTAAGAATTTGTTCTATTAATTTCATTGTTTCGAATTACCTCTATTTTTTTTAAATTTTAGATTTATATTTGTAACAACTATTCTATTTTGTTTCACATTTAAATTCTGATATTTAGCATTAGTAAGCTTACCAGATTATTATTTCACCCTCTCTTATATATTATGTTTGTGATTTTTATACTAATTACTCTTTTTTGAGATTTTATATGAAGGTATTTATTAATTATTTAATGAATAATGATAAAGTGTGGCTAAATTATTTAATTAATGATAATTATTATCTTAATCTAGGTAAAGCAACTGGATTTTGATACGAGATTTATTATAAAAATTTTATTGCAAATAAACAACATGGACTTTTATTATAAAAATCTTATTGTGTCATGACCCTATACGAGATTTATTATAAAAATCTTATTGTGTCATGACCCTATATTTGCATTACTTCCTTTTCTGTTTAAATGCTTATTATCAGTCTATCCTTTCATGCTTATAATTATGATAGGACTTTGACCATCCTACACGCAGTAGAGAAATTAAGATTTACTGACCATTATAACTAGGGTTCCTCTTTATCAATGATAATTATAACTACTAATAGTAGAGAAATTAAGATTTATTGACCATTATAACTAGGGTTCCTCTTTATCAATGATAATTATTTATTTGAATGCTTTATTGTCTAGGTGCTCTTTTATTACTTTGCATGGACTGAATACTATTGGCTCAATTCCAAGTAGCAGATTGCAAGGTACTCTATATGCAGTCACCTTACTTTTCAGTTCCCTTGACGTGTCCTCTTTGTAAATCCGTTGGCCGTTACTTCATATGTCCTTCTACAAATCTGCAACTTTATTTTCAAATCATTTTCGAAGTAAATGATTTCAAAGTGCTTATTTTTCATGTTAGTGACTCTGTTTCACTTTGCAGATTATAATGACATATAAGCTTTTGAAAAGTGGTTTTTAATTCAAAGTGACCCAGTTTTAATAAATGTTCACTGTTTATTTTTTAATAACCTAAAATAAATATAGCAAGTTTTAATATCTTTGTTTTCCCTTGCTTTTTAATGCTTTTGACTAAGCTTTATATATATATAGTATATAAAGCACAATCATCTTCTTCCAAAGATATTGTATGACTTTTACATTTTTCAATTGATTTTCTAATAAACGGGGGCTTGATCTTTGTTCTTCCAGTAAGATGTTTTAGTCTGTATCAAGCTATTGTAGTTGGGTAAGTTGAGATTACAGTCATACAGTTTATTTGCTAAAATTGTAGACCCCCATCAACTAATTCTTCCTTTGTGCTTCTTTTGATTTGCCCACTGATTTGCCAAATGTCATTTGCTAAAAATTAGTATCCTGTTTGAACTAAATGTTGCATTTAGAAAATATCTTTTATAGTATCTTTTAAGCATGCACATTGTGTCATGACCCCATATTTGCATTACTTCCTTTTCTGTTTAATTGCTTATTATCAATCTATCCTTTCATGCTTATAATTATGACAGGACTTTGACCATCTTACACGCCATGACTGTTTCACACACGTTAATAATACACCATCACACTTTTTCAATTGGTTGATATACAATTCTGTCTATTAGTTTGTATGCGTACCATACACAAATTTTTTTAAATCATATTACTACTTCTTGCTTAAGGAATGCAGTGCAAACTGTCCAAATTTTAGCTCGCTGAGTTTGCAATTTAATTGTTTTTGCTTTTCACCTTTAACCTTTCTGTGGAAAAGGCTCTACTTCTGCCACCTTACATTATACAATTATTATAACTCTTCCCTCTCTTCAAAGTAATATAAATCTTGGTTTTCATTGTAAAAATCTTATTGCAAATACACTAACTGTTCTTCATTGAGTAAGAGTAAAATTATTAAATTATGATATTTATCATTAGTAGTACTAGCAGATTATTCTATGATTTTCTTTTATCTTTGAAGTTTATGGTTGTTATATTAATTACTCTTTATTGTGACTTTATATATTACTTTTTATATTTTGTTAACGTATTCATGTTTTTTAACTTTCTCAATTCTCAAGCTTTTAGCAGGTCATAATTGGTTTTTAAAGGTTCTCATATATCCAAGAAGTAAAAATAGAACACTTAAAACCACTAATGTGATTTTAGATATTAAAGATGTAAAGCGGGAAACTTTGAAGTACGAGGTAATAGCAATATAAACTATAGAACTGAATTCTCCGGTACTTATAGTCCAAAAATGAGTAAACTAAGGTAAAAATCATATTGAAGAAGAGTAACAAATTTATATACGGATTAGAATACTCATATGACAGATTAAAAAGATCAAGTTTTCTAAACCTGGAATTGAGGTTCGGAAGTAACATTTGTTCTGCGGCATAATGTAGAAACGGTGAGTATTTGGAGTCGGTCAAATGGCAATGGAACATTAGTTAATAAATTTACAGTAGTGAAACATGCAACTCACAATCGAATCTGTTTTCTCAGTAATGATCAGTAATGAATCTGTTCCTCATGAGAAATCTGTACATAATCTATTTCTTTGTATAACATAAAATCATAAAAACATTAGTGAATAAGTTTCTATGTTTTGATGAAAAATTAAATAACGAGTTGATGCTTATCTAAATTTATAGTAGTGAAACAAGGAACTCACAATCAAAGTTGATGCTATCTGAATTCGTAAAACTATGCTTTTGTTCTGATATGCATGCCAATAGAAGTTACATGTTGTTATTGTTTAAGTGAACAATTGTTTACAGATTGTTATATGTTATATGTGTGGTAACAAATGTAGTTCTAAACAATTAGTTTGCTATTCTGGTTTCTTACAAATAAGCATTGAAAATGCATTAAAATCTGAGCACTTGAGAATGAATTTGATTAAAAAAACAATTCTATGTAGATAGATCTTCCTAATATAAAATTATAATATTCAGTATTGTAGTTAACTATTGCTTTGGTATACAGGTTAAGGGTTGCTGGTTCTACGCTCAAATTTGCTCGATTCTTTCATTAAAGAATTGGGCTTACTTGGGATATGGTAATAAAACATGCTTTAAAAAGCTTAAGTATGAGGGAGCATCTCTTTACTGCAACAATTGTCGAGATGTCAAACAGACAGGTATTTGGCGGTACATGTTAAAATTAATGGTGAAGCATGGTAAGCATTTTGTTGAGGTAGTTATGTGGGACGATGTATCAAGTAAGCTAATTGGCAAACCAGCAAATGATCTCAGTGACAGCCTTAGCTTGGTAAAGTATTCAATTTATATTATATGTTATACGTAGTATTTTATATCTAAAATTAACAATTTGGGAATTAGCATTGTGATTTTAGTATAAAATTCACTTCTCTTCTTTTACGCAGGAGACTTTATCGCCTTGTGATGTTCATAATGATGTCTTGGATTTAATTGGCCGGGAATTAATATTCAAGGTTGGGAATCGCAAAGTGAATACCCATACAAATCATAAGGAGTATACAATAGCTGCGTTTTCTGAAAACACAGAAAAAATTAAAGAGCTGAAGGAGGCTGTTCAAGAAGAAGTTGTTGAGGTATTAATATTATTTATCTTCATAAAATTAATTAAAAGATTATGAAAATAGAATAAAGATGATTTTTGCCGGCACAGTAAATTTTTACCTTTTAAATAACCACATTTCAAAATAGACCTCTTGAAATTAGTTTCTACAAATGTGCGAACACTCGAACATTAACATACACTTGTGTACATACTTTGTTAAGATGTTGTTATACTACTTTTGTACTTAACTGTTAAACTAATAAAGTAACCTCACACAAAAAGAGGAATTTGGCTTTTAAACATGTGGTATTTATGTGATAAAAACACTCAAGCACTAACACTTGGTTATTATCTTTGATTTGTAATAGGTATATAACTCAGATTCTGATCTTGATTTGATGTGTGATGATTACACAAATGTCGAATCAAATATGGTAAAATATTTACAATGTTATTTTAAATAGAATATTATACATGTGAATTTAATGAAAATGGACTGATCCAGTTGTTTTATTTTTCAGACGCCGTGCTCACAAGAAATTGAATCTCATCGTACTCCTGAGTCGGTTTTGTCCAAGAGACATGCTACTGATGAAAATGAATCTGATGGAATGGAACAAAGCTCAGCCAACAAGAAGTTCAAGGGGTTAAGATTGAGATTTGACTCGACGTGCATTAATTTATTTTCTGCTTTGATAAAATTGGGTACTTGGGAATAATGATGTTGCATGATTTAAATTTTATTTTGGATTGAATAAGAAAGACAATTTATCATTTCAGTATAAATTTCATAAATACTTCGTTATGGAGTTTTTTCCATTTCTCTTTTTTTGTACGTCCAATGCACAGTGTTATCCAGGATAACTTATCCATGTTTACTTTTTTAATTAATATCTAAAATCACATGAGTGTTTGAATTGTTTTATTTTTGACCTGCTATGGATATATCAGAACCCTTATAAACCAATTAAAACCAATTATGACCTGCTAAAACCTTGAGAGTTATTATATGCATTATGTTACTTGATGTTTATTGTGTCATTGAATTACATTATTGTAAGTTTGTAACTATAAAAATCATACAAGTCATTTGTTTCTTTTATATTGAATTTTTTATAAAATATGATATGAACATCATACGATAGTATGTAATATGTATGTCTTGAAGAATTCTTGAAGCATTTGAATGCACTATTTGAAAGACTCTTATGTTCTACTACTTCGAAACACTTCTAATGATGGCAGCAACCATAAAGCTTCTCTAATATACGTACTATCCTTCCAACGTATCGTCTGGTCGAGGTTGGGGGGGCCCTCAGAGATGTGGTGTCATCCTTTTTTTCTAATATAAGTAGTATATGACAAGGAACTCAAACATGGTATATTCCATCAATTGTGTACTTTGTACGGTAGTTGAGAAAAGATTCTAATAATATGTACTACTTCCCGTCACAATTTGATAGTTCTATTTAATATTCATCACACTTTTTTATTTGGATTGTTTTCAGTCCTATAACAAATCAAACCAAATCAAATGATTTTGAAAAAGATCAAATCAAATCGGATTTGATCAAAACAGATATTTTTTAGTCCAAGTAAAAACATATTCACATGGTCAACATAAATCATTATTAATCTTTTATTTTCGTTTATAAATATGTAAATTTTATTTATTACAAATATTTTGAGCGGTGACAACGATCAGCAGGATCGACCCTATATGTTTGAGAAATAAAATGTGCCTGCATTTTGAAAAATTGAAAAACTTTTTTGGTCTAAACTAACATGCATAGTAATAATAACCGTTCAGAAAAACCCTTTAAACATTTAAATAAACTATTAAACTTTCTTCTATCTAAATAAGTTATATTGTACCAAAGATTCACTATATTTTGGCTTGAGAATATGATGAAATTTTATGAGAACCTTCCACATTAAGTGTAGATTATATCAACAAAATTTCATCTTGAAATTAAATCAGGAATTCAGTTAAATAAATTATGGAAAATGACTGCGTTTTTCGTGTACATTCTGGAGCTGTTGTTTTTAAAAATTTATTCAACCGCCTTTCTTATTGAATTTTGAGCTGAAATTTAGTGGTAATAGACTAGACTTGATGAGGTGAATGCTCACAATATTTTATTAAAAAATATCACCGGGAAGTACCTGTGATAGGAATGTTCGAACGGGGTTTAACGTCACAACTACCTGAGATGATCATTACTCATTTATATATATATATATATATATATATATATATATATATATATGTGTGTGTGTGTGTGTGTCTATATATATATATATATATGTGTGTGTGTGTGTGTGTGTGTGTGTGTGTGTGAAAAAGATCACCATACATAAAATTTTTTGAATATATAAATGTTAGTAGTTTATTCCCTTATTAAAATTATTTATTACAAAATATTTATTTAGATAATATGAATGATAACTTCTACTACGTTACTATGTACAGCAACATATTTTACTATGGGAGTACTGTTTACTATGTTAGATATGCCTTTTGGGTGTTTTTTAATAATAGTATAAAAAATATACTAAGAGTGAACTTATTAAATTTACTAAATTGACAGAAAAAATCTAAAAAGGTTAACAAATAAAGGTCTATCAATTAATACAAATAATAGCACTTTTACTATTACTTAATTTTTACTAGACATTTTCACTTAAGTAAATACAAAAAACCTATGCATCTTTTCATGTTGAGTAATGAATTTAATAAAATATACAATATTTAAATACTGAATTAGTAAACATGTTTTCTTTATGTGCATGTTAATTAAAGTAAAAAGCATTGCATGTGTAATTTGGTTGTGCTGAAATGTATATATTGTGGAATATTTTATATATTAGTTCAATCTTAATTAACGTACTAAAATATTTAAATGCACTACTGTAGATTTTGAACTGGATCAAGATAAAATTGAAAAGTACTGTTTGTTGGAGATTCAGAAGCTCTTGCAGTCAAGAGGTAGATTACTGCGTGATTTTGCTGGCATACCCTTGCTACCTGATGATGAAATGCCCTCGCTGGAAGAACTTCAAATTCATGAAGAGCTGCAGTACAATAAATCGTATCTGATTGAGGAGCATGCAAAATTGTTGGCCGAGATGACAGATGAACAACGTGTTGTGTATGACAGGATAATGGAATCTGTAGATAGTAGAAACGGGAAATTCTACTTTTTATATGGCCACGGAGGAACTGGAAAAACATATCTATGGAGGACTTTGTCTGCGGCTGTGAGATCTCGCGGTGATATAGTTCTTAACGTGGCTTCAAGTGGTATAGCATCGCTTCTCTTGCCTGGAGGAAGGACCACACATTCGAGATTTGTGATTCCACTTAGTGTTGTAGAAGACTCCACGTGCAACATAAAACATGGTAGTCCGTTGGCTAAGCTGATAGAGTTATCTAAGTTGATTATATGGGGTGAGGCACCGATGATGCACCGACATTGTTTCGAAGCTCTTGACCAGAGTATGAGAGACGTGCTTCGTTACTCCAGCCACTGTGACGCTACCTTGCCTTTTGGTGGGAAGATGATTGTATTTGGTGGTGACTTTAGGCAAATTCTTCCTGTGATACCAAAAGGCACGAATCAAGACATTGTGCGCGCCGCACTTAACAGTTCATTCATGTGGTCACATTGTACTGTAGTGAGGCTTACTAAAAACATGAGGCTCACAAGGATGCTCGGCCAGCCTGATGGACCAACTATCCAATCTTTTGCGGAGTGGATTTTGAAGATTGGTGACGGAGCTTTTGCTGAAAATCAAGATGGAGAATCACTCATTGATATACCAGACGATATGATGGCTCCAATGACGTCTGATCCTGTTGAATCTATAGTTCAAGCTATTTATCCTGATTTCTTTACCCAAGGTGATCCTATTAATTATCTTTATTCCAGGGCTATTCTTGCTCCAACCATAGATGAGGTTGATAAGGTCAACGATTACATGTTGAGCCAGATAGATTCAGAGTTAAAGACGTACCTAAGCTCAGATTGAGCTTCTTCATCTGACTCAGATAGTAATGATCTCTTGCATGAGATACATTCTCCTGAATTTCTTAATAGCATCAAATGTTCTGGCTTGCCGAGTCATGAGCTGAAGTTGAAAGTTGGAGTTCCTGTGATGCATATGAGGAATATAGATCATTCATCTGGATTGTGCAATGGCACACGGATTCTGGTCACTAAACTTGGAGCTCATATTATTGAGGCTCAGATGATGCACGGAGAAAATGCCGGCGAAAAGTTTCTTATTCCCCGCCTTACTTTGACACCATCGGACATTAGTCTCCCATTCACTTTTCAGCGTAGACAATTTCCGTTAATGGTTAGCTATGCAATGACCATTAATAAGAGCCAGAGACAGTCATTGGAAAAGGTTGGCATCTTCCTCCGTCGTCCTGTTTTTACGCATGGACAGTTGTATGTGGCGGTCTCGAGAGTAACAAGTCCGTCTGGATTAAAGTTTGTTATATGTGACGATGAAGGGAAACCAACGAAGTCGGCGTTGAATGTTGTATACAAAGAAGTTTATACTAATTTATAGTTCCCTTGCTTCATGCATACATCCATACTCATTGCTACACATATCGCATCATGATTTGTACTTAACTTTGATCATTGTTTTTTAATTTCGTATTAAATATGAATATTTATTTTATTTTATGCTTTAATTTGATTAATTTGTTTTAGTTTTTAATTTTATGTTTTGAGTTAGGTTGATTTATTATGAAATTCTTTGAGTTTATGTTTGTTTGATCCAAACATCTTCACTCCCGTGCGTAGCACGGGTGGAATTACTAGTATTATTAAATTCAATAACAAAGATAAAAATATGACTTGTTTTTAAATTTTCCCAAAATGTGAATTTAATGTCTTTTATTAAATATAACATTTATTATTATTCTAGTGCTACATATTACATTGATTATAAAAAAAAATATTAAACTGTCTAGCCACCCTGCACTATCGGCGTCACTATCGCCAACACCGCTGCATGCCGCCGACATACTGCCCCGTCATCCTGTGACTCAGCCGTCATGAGCGTAGTTCAGTGACTTGATCACCCTATGTGATTCAGTGGCTACTTCACCATTCAGTCACTACTTACCGTTCAGTGACTGTCACCCCAATAACTGTCGTGACTATTCCGTATTCAGTGACCACTGCCACACTAACTGCAATGACTACTCCGACATGCATTCACCGATTATCCACCATTCAGTGAATGTCGCATCATCCGCCCAATGACTGCTGCTGCAGTAACTATCGTGGTAGTAACCTACGGCCAATGACTGCCGCCCCCATCCGGTGTCCACCATCCACCGTCCGCCCCGACTCACCAGCCCTAACCCCCTTCTCTAGCCCCAGCCCCCTCCCCAGCCCCCCCCGCCCCTCCCCAGCCTCCCAGCCCCTACCCTGCCGCTGCATAGACAGTACCCCACTCTCCCGTCCCCATCCCTGCCCCCGCCCCGCACCCCACCCGCTAAATATAGGTCCATCGCACCTCACGAAGACCTCGTCGCCCGCAACCATGGTCGACCGTCACTGCATCTGTCGCTGCCAATGCCTGTCGTCTTTATAGCCAGGGGCGTATCTAGCATGGGGGCAGGGGGCAGCTCCCCCCCACTCAACCCTCACCTTACCCCATTATATATATATATATATATATATATATATATATATATATATATATATATATATATATATATATATATATATATATATATATATATATATATATATATATATATATATATATATCAAATTTTATTTTTGTGTATATATATCATTGTCTTATATACAGTATAATAAAGCTTAAAGTCCGGAAATGACAAAGCTAGCGTACTAACCGACTGGATAGAGTGCTACACGGTTTGCTCTTCAGTTAAGGGTTCAAATCTTCCCAGCTCCAACCCTGTTAATTTATTTTTTGCCCTATTACAACTGTTTAAAATTTGTCTAATTTTTTTTAATGTTGCTACTAAATGATACCAAGTATGTAATTTAATAACATCTTTTCACACTTAATATTAAAACTTGTTTAATTGTAACTTAAAGCACTTATAGTTACATATTTTATCCAATTCTTTTATATATTTGGTTTTGCCTTATTAAACAAATTAGTTTAAATAATTTATTATTTTGTAATTTCAATCACATCTTTTCTCACATAGCATTGAAACATACTTGTTTATTTGTAACTTAAATTAGTTATAAACTTATAAATAAATATTTCATTTGTTTATTATAAAAATTTATTTTATTTTTAATAAACTGTGTGATAATATTAGTGTAAATTTGACCCATATTCCACTGGCCGAATTTTCTGGATACGCCACTTACTATAGCGGATGGGTTCATCGCTATCAATCACAATCGCTCATTACCAATAAAGAAAAGAAGATGAGAGGGATGAGATTCGCGATGGGTTAGCGACTGGTGCGTGGCAATAGGCCAGCGACGGCTGATGCATGTGGCGGCGGCGGGATGGGCCTGGCGGCCGTAGATCTGGTGCTCGGATCTACGTATTAGTCTTATGACAAAGCACACTCAAGGTGGTGTAGATCGAGTCCAGTTAAGTTTACTTGAATTTACTTAATTACCGTCTGGATGATATTTGGATACAAATTTGATCATCTCTCTTCAAAAGTACATAAAACTATATACAAGTCATAGTCCATTGCTCAATTTTGGAATTGCACTAAAGATTGACAAGGAAATAATAAAAAAAAAACTTATCTGTATATAATCTTGCCAATTATAAATATATATATATCCATACATATGGAAGGGGATCGACGATGGTAAGAAAATTAAAGGAAGAAACAAATCATCTTCTTCTTCTTCCATGAAGCACCTCTTTGTCATTGAGTTCGCCAACATCATCATCAAGGCCAGAAAGCTCCATTCTAGCAGACGCCCATTTCACTATCTTCTCCGCCTCCCTGCTAATCTCCTCCTCTTCCCTCAACGCCCTTTTCAGCATTTCTTCATGTTTCTTCCGGGAGAAGCTGCTCAAATCCGACAGCATACCTCTGTTTTCTTTCCCCACCTTCTTCTTCTTCTTCTTCCTAATTTTGTTTGGGGAACACCACAAGCATCCAGGTTTCGGGGGCGGCGATGGGGAATCCGTCGAAACATCATCCGGATCCTCAAAATACGAAGCCGCCCCGAGTTTAACACCCGGTTCCTCCAATATCCGCGTAGGTGAAAGTAAATCTGGGCTCGGATTCTCCTTTGGACCCTTCGTCTCCCCGGTTGGCTCTTCCTTCTCCCGATAATCCGCCGGCTGAGAAGCAGCGAAGCTTTCTGGAGTGGGATTTGGGGGTCTGGGGTTTGTGGAAGGGAGAGATTTGAGCTTCCGGAAGCGAGATTCAAGGTGAGATGGGAGGGGCGAGTCGGTGAATCCGGAGCAGTTTATGGCAGCGACCTGCTCGAGAACACAGTGATCCATCGCCTGAGATAGAAGCTCATCGACTGCTGCTCTGTCATCGTCGCTGTCTGAAAGGAAGGAAAAATCGGCTATGGAGGTGGAATTTGGAGGTTCTTCACCGCCCACTCTTCTGACCAGTTTTACAGAGTGGAGGAGACGGATTGGTCATGTTAGGGAGGTGGAAGCTAACGGCTAACTCATGAATATGGCCATTTTATGCTCTGTTTTTTCCCATTACGGTCGAAAAGTGAGGCTCTTTTCATGGACTAATGCTGTGCTAACCGGCCCACTCCGTCAGCCTACTAATTAGGCTCCAAAGTTTCTCTTTTTAATACCCCATCCCTAAATAAAAATGTTAGGTGTACACTATCATGATTATTATTATTATCATTATTATCATTATTATCATTATTATTATTATTATCATCATCATTTTTAATATTATTATTATTTTTGTTATTATTATTGTTATTATTACTAGGGAAATTATCATTGACCTCCCTTGAGGTTTAATGCATTATCAATCACACCCATATACTATCAAAAATATAATTTTACCTCCCTCCCTATCCTTTAATGATGGTTCAATAACTCTTAATCTATATTTAGAGAAAACTATAGATGTAATTTCATAATTCTTCATTATGTCAGCTTTTAATATTGTAATTTTGTTCTATCACAAATCTGGTCGGGTAATTAATAAAATTGTCCACACTAAGAGCATCTTCAATGCTAAGCTTTTGACATTAATAAAATTGTGACACATGGCACTAAATGTATGAAATGTTATACCACATAGGATGCATGTGTGTCAATTATTTAATTGGAAATCAATGAAAGTAATTGCAAATGAAAAGCCCTCAACTGCAAAGTATAAAAATTACCCATGTTTTACCCACGAAGAGTCTTAGTTTGCTGACTGGGCCGGTGTGATTGGCTTTCCAATTTGAGAAAGTGGGTTTGACAATGTTACAGTTATTTTTTACACATCAGCATAATGTTGAACAACGAAAAACCCATTGCAGAGCAAAAAAATCAAACACTTCGTGACTTCCTGATGTGGCAAGTTTTTTCTAATGTCAAAAGTGTAGCATTAAAGATCCTCTAAAGACCTTTTTATCAGAAGTCGAATAAAATAAAAAAAATGACCAAAACTGACCTCAGTTTAGGTAGTTCCTTTTATGCCTTTGAATTTGTAAAGTGAGTAAATTTACTCAATTCAAAATGATAAAAATATGCTAAATTTGTCAAAAATTGAAACAAATAAACTTAAATGAACCAAACCGACTCAAAAGTGAAGTTTACTACTCGATTTTACCATTAAAAATTGAAGGCAAGAAAATTCTCAATTTGGACACTCTTTGTTATCATCGAAAATGAGATCATTATAGGTATAATAATAACTTGTAAATTAATATTTTACAAAACATAAACATGTTTACATGTAAAATACTGATAAAACAATTATAGTTTAGGACGGGTTAAACACCCAAACTTGTTAGTGCTAAGTACTTATGGTGGCCCATGACCTTATCTTCGGTTCCAATCTCCTAATTGGTCTAGGTTCTCTCCCGATAATTCAAATATTTTAACTACCTATTTTTCAACTTTTAAATGGGCTATAACTCATTTTAAAATGTTCTCGATGCTTTTAATGAAAAAATGAATGAGGTCAAAAATGGGCTCGAATCCCGGTCTTCAAAGTGAGCCCTAAGGCCTCTTTTCACCAGTTTGATCTCAATCCCGACCTAAATTCTTAATTTAAAAATCGGTCATTTCCGAGAACGGGCCTTGTCCTTCCCTAATACTCCGTATGAATCACACAAGTAGGTATTTTCCATACGAATTTATAATAGGTAACAATAGTCTCTTAAAAGTCGTTCACCAACATCTGTTTTAGGTATAATATAATGATGGAGTATATGGCCCAGGGACCCCCGGTCCACATACTTCCTCTACTACAATCAGGCCCAACAGGCCCAAACGGGCCAAGCCCGGAAAAATGAAGCTCTAAGCAGCCCACAATACACAAAGGGGTGCCTTCGGCCCCATGGCCGAAGGCTACCAGTGACGGAATCGAGCTCAGAAACATCATAGGAGGACAAGACTTGAAAACCAAGCCTTCGGCAACTGCAGCCCTCGGCAGGTAGGAGCCCTCGGTTAGAAGAGACATCACAGGAGATCAGGGCTTGAAAACCAAGCCTTCGGCACCTGCAGCCCTCGGCAGGTAGGAGCCCTCGGTTAGAAGAGGCATCACAGGAGATCAAGGCTTGAAAACCAAGCCTTCGGCACCTGCAGCCCTCGGCAGGTAGGAGCCCTCGGTTAGAAGAGGCATCACAGAAGAACAAGGCTTGAAAACCAAGCCTTCGGCACCTACAACCCTCGGCAGGTAGGAGCCCTCGATTAGAAGAGCCTTCGGCCCAACACCCTTCAGCCGAAGGCATCCACCTCGACAGAATATCCTCTTCACATGCGCCTGGATCACCGTACCAAGTACAAACGTCACATCCAACCACCGCATTTAATGCGGCCACATGCGAGTGCCAGTGCCACCCCGGTTGAGGTGACCCCTCGACCACCAGAAAACTGACACGTGTCCTTATCTAGCATTTATTACTACTATAAATAGCACCCCTTTCCCCCATTGTAAACCACGCTTAATACATATTGAATATACACTCTCTCTCTTACTTATTTGCTCTGACTTCTCTCTAGTTATTCCCCGTAATAACCCCTCGGATAAACTACCCCCGGGTACACTATCCATCATATAACATTCTTCGTTATTGGGCATCTCTCCCTCGTCAGAAAAAGGTTTACCAAGATTTGTACAATCTCAGATATATTTTCGAACTTTTAAAAGTAATAGAGATTTATTGTTTTAAGTTCGTACCTTTCGGTTGTGTCTGCTAGCTACTAGTCCTATAATTTTACTCTCATGTAGATGTAGTTATGTACCTGATAAATTTTTCAATAATAAGGACTATTTCATTGGAAAGTACGCGTTTCTGCAAAAAATTACTTAATAGTGGAAATATTCTTAATACATGTAAATTTATTAATTATCAGATAAAATGTGCAAGTGAGTAAACTTATAAAACTAAATTTATACGTTTGCTAAACGTAATTAATAGTTATTAAACTTTCATTAAAGAATAGGGAGGGGGATAAAAGTATATTTCTAATAGTGTAGGAGTCTAAGTGATAATACCTAAAACATTAGAGGTCATAATTTCCCTAAAGTGAAATGTGTTCTTGGCCAAAAAAATATTTGATGTTTGACCTACACCACTATAATAAATCCAACAAGTTTTGTCATCTCATTGTTTTTCATCTACTCCGATTATTTTTATGGGGGTTATCTGTTCCAATTATTTTTGAGAGATTTTTGTATTATTTATTGATCGTTCCATTTTTAATAAGTTGTTTTTTTTGCAAAAATATCTTTATGCTTTCATTTTTATTATTTTTATTTTTACTGTTTATAAACTAACTCATAACTCTATCATTTATTTTTTTGTCACAAAAATTTGTCACTTTGCTTTGTAATCATTTAACATGTGGTTCTTATTATTTTTCATTCTTCTAAACAAATCTCAATCACTTAATTTTTACTTTATTACTCTCCATGTCGATCAAACTTGGTAAAGTTTTAGCCTTTTAGGTGACGGAGGAGTGACTACTCTTTTTCCCTACGCTTTTATCACTTTTCGTTTCTTAATATATTTCATTTCCTGCTAATGATAAAAAATGATTTTTTTAACTATATCATTTTTATAGCCCCAATATTAAAAATAAAACATATTCAATGTTTACAAAAATTAATAGAACAATTAGGATCAATTTGTCATTGTTTACATTGAAATCAAGGTGTTTTTCTTATATTCCGTTCTAGACAACTTAATTTCAACTTGACTCAAGTTTCATTTTTTATCAACATGAGTTACATTTCTTTAAACACGAGTTACATCACCTTGGTACAGAAACACAAAATAAAATTCTTTTCATCTGCGTGTATTGTTCATGCGTGATTTAACTTTGAGAGCATGATGCTCATTGTGGGCCAAAAGAAAATTCTTTTCATCTGTGTGTACTGTTCATACATGATTTAACTTTGAGAGCATGGTGCTTATCGTGGTCAGTACCACGGTTTAATGAACTAAGGGGGGAGAGTATTAAAAAGAGAAACTTTGGAACCTAATTAGTAGGCTGACGGAGTGGGCCGATTGGCAAAGCGTTAGTCCATCAAAGGAGCCTCACTTTTCGGCCGTAATGGGAAAAAACATACTCCCTCCGTCCCATATTTATCTTCGTAGTTCGGTTTACGATGCTTGACTGACGATAAAACAACTTGATCCCTGTTCACACTAAAATTATTTTTAGTAAACTAAATTTACATATTCAGAAACTACATTAAACCCGCTACAAAGGCTGATCAAGAAAATTTAAGTTTGATAAAAAATTGATATATAAAGTAAAAGTTTAAGAGTAATTTGAGTTGACCGTGTGAATAGTAACTATGAAGATAATTTTGGGACGGAGGGAGTAACATAAAACGACCAGGACTATCATGAGTTAAAAGTTATTTTTTTCGTCTTATTCTTACAACTTATTGTTTATTCTTATTTTATTCTGATCAGATCAGATCAGAAAATTTGAGATTAGATCAAATCACAAATATTCAAATCAGATCACATCGGAAACATTCAAACCAGATTAGAAAGATTCAGATCATATCAGAAACATCCAGATCAGACAAAAAACATTCAGATCAAATCAAAAGTTCAAACGCGATTTATCACTTTTATTATTATTATTATGACAACTTTAATTCTATAATTACAATTATAATTATAGATATAACAATAATTAAAAATATAATTACAATTATAATTTTAGCTATAATTATAACTATAATTATAATTATACCTATGCTTATATTTACAATTATTGTAATGGGTATAATAATAATTATTATTATAATCATAATCATTTTTATAATCATAATTATATTTGTAATTATAATTAAAATTATAAACGTAATTATACTTATAATGATAATCAATTTATATCAATAAGTATAGTCATAATTATAATTATAATTATAATTAGATTATAATTATAACTATTATAATCATAATAATTATAATCATAAAAAATATAAGTCTAATATAAGCATCATAACAGTAGCACTAATAATATACCTATAATTATATTTATAATGTAATTATAAGTATAAGTATAAGTATACATGTGATTGTAATTATAGTTATAGTTATAATTGTAATTATTTTAATAATTGTATGTATAATTGTAATTATTGTTATAATTATAGTTATACTTGTAATTATTTTGATAATTATATGTATAATTGTAATTATTGTTATGATTATAGTTATAATTATAGG